AATACTATATAATAGAGTGTTCTTCGAATATGCTGTTACAGACAAGCTAAGACTGGCCCGCGGGCTACTCTGTGCCCTGGAAGGGAATTGTAGGACTTTGAAAACTTATTCTGTTACGACCCTAATAGGCTTAACCAAACTCTGTTGTAGGACCCGCCATTCCCCCTATGGAAGCTAAGTAAGTGACTTGCAGGCGTGACCGGTGTCAACATTGGTAGGTGAGCATGAGCACTCGACGCCCCGCTGCGCCCGCCCTGTCTCTCCTTGCAGCACTCCCTTGCCAAGTTCTGGCCACCTCCCTCCTGCGACAAACAACATCAGGAGCTTCCCGGCACAGCTGTCCGTTATTCAGCAGTTGTTGGGCGGTCGGGCGCATCGAACCATCACCAACCGACGGGAAATCCCACCGGTCAAATAATCAAACTTACCAATCCAACTTCTTTTATTCCATCAGCAGTCGAGGATTCGCTCTCGCCCGGTAGTGAAATTTCTGCTTTGTTCCTTTGTTCATGCTCCCCAGTCCCAACTCCCTGGTCCTTGCGTCTGTCTGCCCTACCGAACCGGCCCTCACCTAGCCGTCTGAAGGCTATTTTGGGCTGGGAAAACCCACTTTCAGCCAACCCCATGCTGATGACAGTTGGGCGGCCCCAACAGCCCGCTTCAGATCTGCGCGACCGGTCGCCTTCCCCTCATCACCACAAACGCCCACTGATATCCTCCTCTCGACGATACGTCGCTGCGCTGCAGAAACAGTACAGGAGCAAGAATGAGGCAACGCGTTTCTCTCGACATCATCGCCAATGAGCGAGGCGCTCCCGGCGCTCCTGACGATGCCGAACCAGAGACCGAAGCAGCCCGGCAGGCCGACGAAGATTCACGGACGTCTTCCAGCAGCTCACCCGCCCCGCCCGATAATGAGGAGTCGGATTTCTTCCTCGGCGCCAACGATTCCCAGTCGTCGCTCGGTGTTCCCAATCTGCAGGACATGCAGGTTAATGACGACGAATGCCTTCCGCCCGTTCACCGCCTGCCGAACGAGATTTTGATCGCCATCTTCTCCAAGCTGAGCAGCTCGTCGGACATTCTACATGTCATGCTGACCTGTAAGCGGTGGGCTCGCAACGCCGTCGACATCCTTTGGCACCGCCCGTCGTGCACGACGTGGGATAAGCACGCCTCCATCTGCCAGACGCTCGGCGTCGAGAACCCTTACTTTTACTACCGCGACTTCATCAAGCGTCTGAACTTGGCCTCCCTCGCCGACAAGGTCAACGATGGCAGCGTCATGCCTCTAGCATCATGCACCCGAGTTGAGCGTTTGACACTCACCGGCTGCAAAAACCTGACAGACTCTGGACTTATAGCTCTCGTCACCCACAACAACCATCTATACTCTCTCGACATCTCGCACGACGATCAGATTACCGAAGCCTCCATCAATGCCATCGCCGATAACTGCCCCCGCCTTCAAGGCTTGAATGTTTCGAGGTGCACAAAAATCTCAAACGAGAGCCTGATTCGGCTGGCGCAGAGTTGCAGATACATCAAGAGGGTAAGCTATCTCCAGATGGGTCATACCGCATGGACGAGCTGTGCTGACATATCCGCTGTAGCTTAAATTGAACGAGTGCGAGCAGCTCACCGATGAAGCTGTTCTAGCGTTTGCCGAGAACTGCCCCAACATCCTTGAGATTGATCTTCATCAGTGCCGGTTGATCGGCAATGAGCCGGTAACCTCGATTTTTACACAGGGACAGGCGCTTCGTGAATTGCACCTGGCCGGCTGTGAGCAGATCGATGACTCTGCCTTCCTCTCTCTTCCCCCAAACAGGACATACGAGCATCTGCGTATCCTCGATCTTAGCTCTTGTGTACGACTCACGGACCGGGCTGTGGAGAAGATTATAGACGTTGCCCCACGGCTTCGAAACCTGGTGTTTGCCAAGTGCCGCAATCTGACGGACGCCACGATCTACCAGATTGCACGTCTGGAAAAAAATTTACACTACCTTCACCTCGGCCACTGTGGGCACATAACAGATGACGCGGTGAAGTACCTGGTGACCAAATGCACACGAATCCGCTACATCGACCTCGGCTGCTGCCAGAACCTGACCGACGACTCAGTCACGAAGCTCGCCAACCTTCCCAAGCTCAAGCGGATTGGCCTTGTAAAATGCCACCAAATCACGGATGCGAGCGTCATTGCCCTAGCAAATGCGAATCGGCGGTCTCGTACGCGTAAAGACGCATACGGCAATGTGATACCGGGCGAATATCACAGCAGCAGCCATAGCAGCTTGGAGAGAGTCCACCTCAGCTACTGCACCAATCTGACATTGAAGGTACGAACTGGGTCTTTGTGCTGTGTCTTGGGTTTTACCGCTGACCGCTACTTCTCCAGGGCATTATACAACTGCTCAACTGCTGCCCTCGGTTGACTCATCTAAGTCTGACCGGTGTCCAGGCCTTTCTAAGGGAAGACTTGGAGCAATTTTCCCGAGATGCGCCTCCAGGTAAGCCGGCTTGACCTTGGCAATATCAATCCGCTGACAGAAGTTGGTTCAGAATTCACCGAACACCAACGGTCGGTTTTCTGCGTCTTCTCTGGCCCAGGGGTTGTCAATCTGCGCAAGTACCTGAATAGTCGGCGGCCACTCGAGGACCAGATGCGGGGGACTCTCCCGGCTGACATTCCCATCTTCCCTGAAACAATGCCACTTCCGGGAGTGCCTCATCTTCAGCCGCCCGATGGCGGTTTTGATGACACAGAGGCTGATGCAGTGGACGACGATGACGGGCTTGACGGCTCCGAGATGGTGATTGACACCCAACCATTACTAAATCATCACGACAATGGTGTTGCCGTCGTCGCAGCAGGTGATATGAACGAAGTCCCGCCTCCTCCTCCACTGATACCGATACACTCGCACGCACACCACCCGGTCAGCAATAATCCCTTTGGCTATGTTGGCGGCCACCCTCCTCATGTACCACAGCAAGTTCTATTCGAAGACGATTCTGTGGAACCCAACACGCCGATCCTCCCCAGCAATGGTGTCACGACAAGCCAAGAGGTGATCAACAGCGACGAAGATTTTGATTCGGGTATAGCTGCCGGGACCGCGGGCTCGACCGTTCCCAATACCTTTTCTCATCCCTTGGTGATCCATCAAGCCACGGTTGCTAGCCCAGGCTCGCCGACGGCTGCTGCGAGCACAGCCACCCTCCACGAGATCGACATATCAAGTCAGCCGATTCAGCCTGAGTACCCTGCCGATCCTATTCTGGCCGATCAAACGCCTAATGAGAGCAACTCTGGGAATTCCTGAGCGGAAACGCTATAGCTGCCTGAGAGATTCACCTGCTCTCGTATCGGAACCGAGCAGTGTGTTATCTCTAGATTTGCTGATTGTTGGCGCGAGAGTGATGGAGATCTTGATACCCAAGGACTGGACAAGGCCCTGCCCCCAAGGACCATCTGATTTAACTGGATCATGCTTTTTTTCTTTCTCTTTTCTACATCCCTTTCTCCTCTTTTCCTCCCTTCTACCGCGCTTCACCATGAGCTAGACTTGTGGCATACTTGACCTGGTGAGTGTCTGCTTCGGATGGTAAAACCTGTGGTTAACACGCCTGCGTCGTCTTTGAGAATGTAGACTGAATGGATGGGACGGCTTGGACGCATCAATCCCTGATGTTTCGACAATTTTCGACATTCGTCCAGGCATTGTGGGGTTTTGAGGGCTATTGTTATGGGCTCGGCCCAACTTGTCATCTTTCTGTCTTGCTTTCAAACGGACTGGTAGGCTCGCTGCATTTTATGGGGATTGCGAGGGATGATGACCGCCGTCAGTAACGGAGGATGCTCATGGCGAGGAAGCGTACTATTTAGGGTTACTAGGGCATTGATGTGAAGGCAACCATTATTTGAACGACAACTTGCCGGCCAGTATGTGTTGGCGTGCCTGTAGATGCGGGCTTGTGTTTGTTTTGGAGTGCCTATCATTAGGTGAGCGCGTGTTAGTCATTAGGTACCTTATGTATAGGATGGATAGATCTTGCCAGGTGCCAATCTAAGCTCTATGAGCAGTGAGTCGGTGCAGGCGGCAGGAAGTGGTGAGTTCTTTTACCAGTCATGGGGGATTGCTATGTAGCCATTTCGATCATGGCCTTTACAGTACATTTTCCAATTTCTAGTTTCCCAATAAGTGCGATAGGTTGCAAGGGCTGCGGTTCACCAGTGTGAAGGAAGTGACGTTGAAAGTGGAGACATCGGAGAGCACGCGGAACGTATAAAGTACCTCTCCTTCGGTGTGGGTCTGTGTATGGATTCCGTACCTAGTACGGAGTACCGACTACGGAGTACTCCGGCGCCTTGAAAGTCCCACAGAAACCCACATCTCAACTCTCCGCTCCCGGTCAACACGCAGCAGCTTGTATGGTTGTTCTAAGCTCCTTCCGAGCGCCTAATGACAAAATACCGGTACAAGACGTTGAGTAATAAAAAACATTTCGCCACACTCCCGCGACCTTTGTATTCGAAGACTGATTCCAACCAGACCGCGACGCAATTTGAAAATCGAACTATCAAACAACTCATCCTCCCATTTTCTCACGGTCTCTCACTCCTATCCTGGTTTCTCAGCAATTGCTAGCCCAAACTCGGCATCTTGCGGTCAAAACGGAAGTTAAGGCCGGCTCACACTGAGCAATTGAAGATGACCACAACCACGCTCCCTTCAGGATCATCCGTTGAATTCAACAAGGAGTCCGAGTCAACACTGGCGCACGTGAGGGCCGTGTGGGACAGGGTACGGCCCAACTCGCCCATCTACAACCTCCTGCTTGGGGCCGTGAATATCGTGTCGGCGTCGTCAACCGGGGGGCGGATTGTGGCCTGGCTCGAGGTGCAGCCGATCCACCTCAACAGCAAGCGCATCCTGCACGGCGCCGTGTCGGCCACGCTGTGCGACTGGGCGGGGGGCATGGCCATCGCCGCCGCCACGGGCCTCCCCCAGACGGGCGTCAGCACCGACATGCACCTCTCGTACGCCTCGACCGCGCGAGAGGGGGACACCCTCGAGATCGAGGCCTGGGTCACCAGGGCTGGCAGGAACTTGGGCTTTACGCGCTGTGAGATCCGCAGGGGGGTCACGGCTGAGGATGGGACTAAGGGTGTTGTTGTGGCCGAGGGGAGTCATACTAAGTATTTAGGGTTTGGAAAGGCGAAGACGGACTTGGAGGGGGAAAGGGAAGGGAAAAACCAGGAGAAAGTGGGGGAGGGAGAGGAAGGGGCAGCGAGCTAGGAATCAAAGCATCACATGATGACTCTCCATGTCGACATCTGATGGTCTGGTTGCTAGGCAGATTCTTAAGATCCTGACTTGCAAGGAGCCGGCTCGTGACGACAATGATACAGGCTTTCAATTCCTGGCTCAATATTCCCTCCAGCCCTTGTATTATTCATCCCATTATATTTTTACTCCTCCACATTTGTGTTGTTGCCCAAGCGTATAGGTAGCATTCGAAGTATGGCGAAGACCAGCGTTGACATTGGACTGCTGTCCTATGCCGCCGTATTATGGTATCAGGGGCAGATACGAGCGCTTGGGAAGATCTGTAATGTCGCAGGACGTCATTTTCACCGCTTAAGTCGCTAGGCTGCTAGCTTGATCGTCAAAACCTGCGAAGGAAGTTAACTGGACGAGGCATGGGTTTGGTTGAGAGGCCCTGATGTTCAAGGCTTTGCCAGGCAGTTGCCAGCAAGCAGGTGCTAAGAGGAAACCAAACGGGAGGTCTGGTAAAGCTGCTGTATCGTTACGGTATTTGTGCTGTTGCGGATTGAATTGGTGAAGATCTCAGAGGCTCTGTCGAAAGGCAGGCTTTGTCGAGTGGATGGTTAGAACTTGAACAAGGTTCAGGGGGCAGCGGGAAGCAAGAAGAGGAGACAACTCGTAAAGGCGCTCGAGCTCAAGGGACAGAACTCGCTTCTCTCCGCTAGGCCCCGGTCAAGTCTGTCTTTCAAAACCAAGAGGTTGAGCTTGAGAACGGATGCCTGGAGCCAGTGAATGGAGGACGCCTGGGGCGGTTCAGGGGCAGCACTTCCCAACGCTGCTCGTCCTAAAACTGTCACCTTTCAAGGTTGCTTTGCTGGAAGGGAGATATCAGCTGTGGTTCGCGGCTTTTATTGACCTACCTCATTGTCTCCAAGGCCACTCCCCAAGGGCCATTGGGTTCAGGAATTATTACCTAGGTGGACTTTGCCGAGCCCGGCTCGAAGACCATCAGCCAACGGGTGGGCAAGATTGGACTGATCCCGAAGCGCCACGCAGGGCATTCCGCTTTGAGGTGGTGTGCTCCAACTGTTCCGGAAGTCTGTGGGGTTTACGAAACCGTTTGTTGGAACCGTTGGATGATAGATCTGACCATTCTAGGTAAGGTAGGTAGCAGAGAGTCGATGCACAACGCTGAGAGAGTCTGGAAGGACGATGAAAGCCAGAAGCACTTTTGGAACTGTTCTCAGCAGCACAAAGACCGGTTTAAAACTGAATTTGGTGAACCATGAATGACTCCCAGCCCGTCGGTCCAAGCGCTTGGGGCCCTGGGGATGGGCCGCGGCGTGCTGGCAGCCTTTGAGAACGGCCAACAGGGCGGGACAAGGCTGCCTCGCCAGGTAATTTCCATTCTTACACCCACTCACTCAGCTTGTCTTCCGAATGGGGCAATTTTACCGTGCGCTTGGGTGTGGTGTTGTTCTTTTAGGCTACGGCACGGGGTAGTATCCGTCAACAGCAACCTGTTGTGAGTCTACCTGTATTGAGTGTATCAGGTTGGAAAGCCGGAAACCAATGAAGCGGTCTGGATTTGCTTTCTTCCCGGCACTGCGAGGCTGAGCATGGGGAGTGATAATCTGCAAGTACATCAAGGTATTGTTAACATGGTATATGCACACCAAATAGGCATGCGGCAGTCCAGGGCTGTTGTTGACACAACAATAGGGGTACTTCAACCCGCGCTCTGCACTCATGTCCTTGATCAACCACATATGCAAGGCACCACTTACGGTAGGTACCTGGGTATGTTGGTGCTCCCAGACACTCGCCAAACTCAGGTAAGGTAGCATTATGGCATACAGGAAATATTTTGTCAATTCATTCCTCCGAGTCCTCATCTCATTTTGGTGTTCTGTGCAACCCACCATAAGGTAAACAAAGGGGCAGAAAACTGAAGCTTTTCTCATCAACCTATCGCATAACACAATTGCATCCAACTTGAAGATTCCATCCCAGGTCCACAGCAAGCGTGCTATAACTGAATGGCGTCCAGGGGCCAGCATGGGCAGAGCGGAGGACAATCCGGACCACACAATGAAGACACACAGCCTCTAGAAACTCAGCGGTTAGTGATACGGCCAGCGGCGTAGCAGTTGGTCAAGACGACACGGGCCGCGTTGAGAAGGGCCAAAAGGAGGGTTGCATAAGCGACGGGGCACACCACGATCACGTACCAGCTGTCACGGTGGTTGGGATGGACTCAGCCCAGGAGCCAATTCCGCAGAGAAGCTGGTCCATTTCCATTGGAATCATGTCTGCAGCTGGAAAATCATGTACCGAGGTCTACGTTAGTTGCAACTCTCGTGCAGTGCAATTGTAGTGCGCTTAGAACTGAACCGGAAGGAAAAGCTCACCCATGATGTCTGCTTTGAACCTCGAAAAGGTACTGTTTGCAATCTGGCGGGTATCTCACGCAAGAGAGATGCTTGATGGAAAGCAGAGCGCATGATGACAGCGAGACGACTATGATTCCTGTCCGAGTCGTCTTTATAGACGGCATATCCGTCGTCGAGTAGCTCCATTGCACGGACTACTTGGTAAGAAAATGAGAATGCGCATCTCTGGCTCAACTTTCTTTTCTTTCTGACGATCCAGTCATCGTCTCGTTGCAGACCTCCACCGACGTATGCACGAGATGCATGGATCACAATGGTCCGGAGAGGACTCTGAATGATTCTTCCGTATGGCATGGAGGTTAGGGAAATCCAATATGGCCATCCAGATTCACAGGGGTACGGCCCTTGCTTCTAGAAGGGCGTGTAATGGCCGTTTGAGTTCCACACACCGTTCATCGGCGAAACAAGCAAAGTTACGGGGGGGGTATATCGCAAGTACCTGTGTAGCAAGGATGGAAGAGGCCTGGACTCTCATAAGATTCCAGAATCGACTTTCTCGTGTCTTGGGAAGAAACGCCGGAAGACACCTCCCTGTTTGAGATAAGATGCTCGGTTAGCTTGTGGATTCAATATTTCGGTGTATTTCGGATAGCTGTATTCGGCCTTGGCTTGCGAAGAATGAAGAACTGTGGTTTTGTGTTGCCCTCCTGGGCTGATTGAAAGCTGGAGAGGCATCGCTAACGCGAACAGAAAGACTTCAAAGGGAAGACAGCCCCTGATTTTGACACGCTAAGATAGATTCACTGCAGGTAGTCCCAACTCGGCCCCTGGTAAAGAGGGCAAGTTAATACAGCGAGGTAGCTCCTGGTTGTATCCTGAGCCCAGCAATACAACAGAGTGACAGATGGGCATGTCTTGTTTCATTTTCGTGGGAATGATGACCGTTGTGACCATGAGATGCCTGTTGACGGCTCAGCTTCCGAAAAATTTTCCACGTCGCTGGCGGTAATCTGCAGCTGCAGGTCGCAGGCGAAAGGGCCGCCCGTGGACGCCTCGGGCGCAGATGGCTGAAAAGGGTGGCCTGGGACGCGGGACAACTGCCCCGGCGCACCTACCTATAAGCCCGAGGCTGCCTCCCGTCGGTACCTTAGGTACCTCCCCTTCCCAAGGCGACATGGTCTCCAACCACCCGGTTTTGACCTTGCGTGTGCGTGGGGACGGCCTCGCATATTCTGGCACCTACCGTGACATGTACGTATTTGGTCAAGATGAGCACACCTGACGATAGGTCAAGGGTGCTTGGAGGTCTCTATGCCAAAAGAATCTCGACATCTCATTCTCACCTGCCATTTGAACCTGGAAACGTTCAAGGACCCCTCCCCACGGGGTACCAAGCCCTTTGAACGACAGATGGAGGTTCGCAATGAAACGCATCCACGGAGACAAAGGGCCCAAAACCTCCGAAAGGAGGCGGGGGAAGGAGCCATGCGGGATTCCCAATGACAACTGACTGCTCACTGCAGTGGTTCCCGTCCTGCCTGTTGGGTCTGTGATCTGTTCCGTCCTGGGGAAGGGGCAACCCTCCAAGTCCATTTGTTTTGTTAGTTGCCTTCCGTGGTTCTGGGTTCGCGGCCTACCAGATCTACTCTGTACTCCTGTAAGGACCTTACATACCTTGCCTCCCCAGCAGTTTTCCCTCTTCTTACTCAGGACAGCTTCAAGTTCTTATGCTCTCGTTCCGTTACGCAGTTCAGTTTTGCCGTCAACATATCATACCGCCCTTACTAACCTGAAGACCGGCCGATTTTATACAATTTGGGATCGAAGTGATTCTAGTTAGACTTTCCTCCCTTTGCACTGACTCTTCTGTCTCTAGCCGGACGGCGTCTATTGTCGTTGGGCGCATTCCTATGTCTAGCTACCTAGGTACTTACCAGAGCCATTGGCTTAGGGATTCGATTCACTTGACTCTGACATCGATTCCGCTTTGCAAATTTCAGTGAGCTTGTCCCAGACTACAGGTATTTACAAATCCAAATGCCCCCCCTCCCCTGACATGGAAAAGCGAAATGCGTTGTGCTGGCAGATTAGGCTGGAAGCGACAATCTGTGTATTCAGCTACCTACCAAGGTAGCTAACATCTACCCAGAAAGGTACCGACGCATTCCACGATAAAGAAATCGGCCTCTGTCTGATACATCATCCTCGGGCGGCCTGGCATCGCTGGCTCTGGTGGCAATATCGGATGAGGGCTTCTGTAGCCCCATCAAGTCATACCCCTACAAGAGCCTCGCATCATCTCAACCCGATTCCTCGAGGATTGGCAATTCTCCTTGTTCAACATGACCTGCCTATCGCGGCTAAGCATCTGGAAGTGTGACATCAAATTTTTCCCAACCAAAGTTCGATACCAACGCGGGCTACAACTCGAAAACTGATGCTCAACGGAGTTTTCTTCCCATATCAATCATGCATTTATCTCTCGACCTTATACGACACAGATACCTATCAGTGGCACAGGCATTCGACCACATATATATACCCAACGGAGAGAGAGGCATGTATCTGACATTGCTTGTATCATTATTATTATCATCCCCCTTGACACTTGTAACCTTGGTGCGGGCGAAGGGACAGCAATGACCGGCATCATGTCAACACGATGGCGCATATGGGTTCCTGGCTGGGTTTCATGATGTCATGTTGGTCATTACTGTTTCCCCAGGCCTGACCAAGCTTACATGGCAAGGTTGGATATAATGTTGGCCGTACCATAGTGATGTCAGAGATATCCCTTTCCCCGGCCTCGTTGCTATGGATACCAAGAAACCGGGGTTCCGCGGTGCCTCCCTTAGACCCAACCACACGATACAACTCGCATCACAAACGATAGCTACCTTACTAGGAACAGCCCTAAGAGTCATTGTGTGTCCTCCACACCCTCAAGCATGTACTGTACAGTACTTTGTTCTTCAAGTTGCTGCAGCAGGTAGTCTGTTAAGGTGCGGCCAGCGGCCCAAGACGCAATGCGAGCAGAGCAACCTAACTTCTCAGGCACATATGCAGACCGACCAGCCTATTATCCCCTAGCCGGCATCAAGCCTCCCTTTCACCCGCGTGCCAATGCCAGCCTCCTAGCTGCCCGAGTGTAATCGAAGTTAAAACACAGTCCTCGCTGTTCAACACCAACCAGATTCCAGGCTGAGGCCGTATACCTACCGTATATGCAACAAACAGCCAGTTAGTTGCAAAGTCAGTTACCTCAGGTACCTTACCTTTGTTGATCAATCGCCAACCTGCGCGTACTCCTCACTGCGATAGAGCCGCAATACTGAATGAGCATGCTGCTCAATCTTGCATCAAGCTACAGGACAGATATGCGGAACAAGTTTGAGAAGCCAACCAGATCGCGTCAATGGCCCCTCAAAGGAACAAGACCGCGTAAGCTGGAGTGCTAAAAAGCTGGAGCCTGGGCGAAGACGCTCACCTCAAGCAAGCAACTACAGTATGCACAATCCAGGCAGCAGTTTTGGCGATTGGGGGCGAGGGAACTCAACCCAAATACCCCAACTCTTTATCATACGGCATCTGAATTCAAATAGTCCGCTACAGAACCAGAGAAGGACTCTTGATATTTCCATCTGCAGTACTGCACCACCCATTTCGACCGGTATCCCAACCGCCATCTGTCCCCAAAACCGCCCGGGTCTCAATCCCGTGCCCCGTCGAGCCACCATGTGTAACGATGCGCCATCAACCGGAACCAAACCCACGTTCGCCATGCCCCGTCCCACCCTCCGCATCATCACCATCATCAACTTCATCCCCGCCTTCGCGTTATGTATCGCGTACGCCGCGCGGCGCATGTACGGCCAGAAAGCCGTGCCTACCGTCGGACTGTTGCCCATGGCCCTTTCCGCCGGTCTAGGGTTCCTCGCACTTCGCCACGAGAGGTGGCGGGCCCGGAAACACGCCTGGGCCGGGACCGAGGCAGAACGGGGCGATGCTAATGTTAGAGCTGAGAGCGGCGGTGGTGGTGGGGTGCTGGCGTTTCGCGTCATGGTGTTCGTGGCGGACGTCGTGGTTGCCGTCGCCCTGATGGTTGTGCTGGTCTTTACGTGGATTGACGTACCTCGCGCGTGGTATCCCCCCAGCCCGTCGGACGTCATGCTGGCGGCGTATGCAACCGTTCCGCTCTTGGTGAACTTGTGAGTTTTGTTTCGGGCAGTTGGGGAGACTACTACCTCACTTAGGCCAGGGTCGGGCTAACGTGACGGGTAGCTTCATCCATTGTTACCTATCGGGCCGTGAGATTTTTGCAGGCCTGGCCATCTCGGCTTTTATTGAACAGGCCGCATGGTCGGTTGTCCCTCATGATTGTCCAAGGTGCGGGACCCGAATTCGGCCGGACTCCCTGCCCTCCGTTCCGTGGTATGTACATACAATACATGGAGCTGTTTCAGCGCCGAGCGTGTCGTCCCCTCGACCCAAAGGAAACCTCAGTTTCTTGACCATCGCTGACTGTTTGTAAGGCTTTCCGAGGTATCACGCTGGATCCGCGGTCGGAGCAGCTACATCAGATTGCCTGTCGATCACAACCAAGTCGCGCGTGATCGGTACAGGGATGATCCGCAGTCGATGACAGTTGTTGCTACCGGGCCTGGTCGTACAGGGCCCGAGCTAGAGGAACGTGCGGGTGGTAGCAAAGACAAGAAGGTGAAAAGTGACCTAGGTCCATCGTTGCCGGGAGAAGACGAGTCCTTGCTTCCCTGATCAAAGGGACGTCGATGGTGCAAGCTGTAGGTTGTCGCAGCCTTCCATGCATCAACTTGATCTGTCGCAATCTTGGGGTGAACGAGTTAAGACTCGGACTTTTGCACTGAGCGGCTACCCGAATCCTGCTATCATAGCAAGGGCTCTAGGCCTGGTCGGATTCAATTTGACTTAGTTTGGCTGCAATAAGAAGCTCAATGAGAACGGCGGTGTTAGCCCTCGATTGATCGCAATTTTCTCAAATGTAAGTCTCGTGCCGTCCCTACCTATCTGAGCTATCCAGGATATTTGGGTAATCTCCTTTGCTCAATACGCTGTGTGGTACGCACATCGACTTCAAGTTGCGGGCATGCTGCGCGTGGAAGGCGAACTGCTGGTCAGGCCCCCTCGCCTCGTCAGGTTACCCCCTTTTTCCCCCTGGTACGAGTACAGCCACCGTACAGCCACAATATGCGGGTTCGAAGGGTTAGGGTTTCTCCTTTAACGCTTAGATTGTGGGGCAGTTTTTGCTGCCGCCGCTCAGCCACGCCTTCAACTCGATGAACCCAGCCCCGTGAATTTCCCAGCAATGCCGAGTCATCCACACTTCGACTCAGGCAGCCCACGATGGCGGCCCACCGCTGCCGGCCACGTTATGGCGGGGCAGGGACTTTTGGTGATCCTAGTCACTTTGACCTTGAGATCCTAGTTCCTTGAACACAAGGACCTTGGCCGTTCCGTATGTTCTGTCATCGGTTCCGGGCACCTGGGCTGGTCCGATAGCAGCCTCTTTCAGCACCTTCGTCCGTTTTGGCTCTTATTTATGGATATTTCGCGCTTCGGGTAACCGCTCCTGCTCCTGCTTATTCTCTGGCAGATCTTCGTTCAATTAACCGCCCATTCTGCGATGCCGTTCTTTGCGAACACGCCCGAATCTCGACTGGGCCGATCCGACTCGAAGAATGTCTCGACAACATGCAGAGGCGTTACCTTGAGCGGCCTGCCGTGCCGTCGCCCGATAGCTACAACAACCAAAAGCGTTGTAAACTCAAGTGAGGAGAGCTTGTACTGCTGGCAGCACAAGGACCAGGCCACTTCCTCCCCAAACTCGACTCCGGGTCCAACCAAGTCCCACACGCCGATACTGGAACACCGAACGAGCGTCGACACACTTATCGAGCGGCTAGGGATCGTCCGCACCAAGTCGGAGAAACCACAGCATGGACACGCAGGCAGAAAACAGCAGCACCGGCCGACCAAGATGGCACGCCCTAAACCGAAGAAGGAGGCCGTCTTTTGCTGCTGCTTCCGTGTCCCTGTCGACGAGATCCCTCCACCACCGCGCCCAAGACCGCAGCCGGTTCAACCGGTTCAGCCGCCCACCGTGTCCACGCCTCCCCTGTCCAGCGGGAAGAAACAGTCGAGCCAGTACCTGACTCCTTCACCATCCCCGTCACGTCCGCGGCCAAGCCCCTCAGGCCAGTCTCTAGGACGCTCGTCGCGCCGCGGCTCCGAAATCTCGCAAACTGCTCAGTTCATGTCGCTGATTCCGGCGGATGCCTCCGCCCAGACAGCTTCACAGCTCCTTGCGGAGCTGGCAAAACCGATCTCAGTCGGAGAGGAGGCCGGGTACATTTACATATTTTGGCTCACGCCCGAGTCGGAACCCGCGAGGCCGCCAGCTGAGGCGGCCCGCTCGCTCCTAGCGCCGCCGTCCACGCCCCCGCGCAACGGACGGCGGCCGAGCGACGTACTGAGATCGTTCGCTAGGGAAGTAGACGACGGGGACGACGGAGGTGGCGATGAGTATGTGCTCAGCCGCGGGTTACGGACGGATGCTCTGAGCGCCGCCGGCACTAAGAAAAAGATTCTCCTCAAGATCGGTCGGGCCACCAACGTGCAGCGCAGGCTGAACGAGTGGCAGCGCCAGTGCGGATATAATCTGTCCCTGATCAGGTACTATCCGTACATTCCGTCGAGCAGCCCAGCTGCGGTGCCCCGCAAGATACCGCACAGCCACAAGGTGGAGCGGCTGGTGCATATTGAGCTCACCGGCCGCGGCATGCGGGTGGCCGATCGGGAGAAGTGCGAGACCTGTGGCAAGGAGCATCGGGAGTGGTTCGAGGTGCCGGCGACGAGGGCAGCAGTGGCAGAGGTGGATGAAACCGTGAGGCGGTGGTCGGATTGGGATGAGGCTCAGGGGTGAGGATCTGGTGAAGGCTGTCGCTGCCTGGCTGGGTTTGTCCAAGTCGATCAGTAGCTTTGGGCTTCTGCATATGCCCCATGAGGCACGCGGAGTAAGCGATTTCCCTGCTCCCCGCATCCATCCCCTTTCGGCTTTTTCTCCAGCCAATATTAGTCGTTCGTCTTGTGTGGGCTCACCTGCCGTTTGTGATATAGTCTTCATTGTGTGTAAGCATTCTAATCTTTTTCAGTAGACATGGGCACAAGACCGGAATGAGCAGTTCATATGCGGCATTGTGATAGAGCCCTTTGCTCGTCCCAAGGACAGAATCCGAACGGTCCACATAAGCCCACCGCCAATGCCAACGCCAACGAACAATGTACACCTGGCTCCAAGTCAACACTCAAAAACCCAGATAGCAACTCCTGCACCTGTGCGGACCCTCAACGCCATGCCGTAACCCCCAATCACTGCCTGTTTAAGCCACACGCCCTCAATCTGCAAAGGGGCTATAGCGAGGTTGTGGCTGCCGCTGGCGGAAGGAAATTGAAACCCACGATCCCGTCGGCCAGCAGCTCCCCTCCCCTCGTCATCGATACCCGCCTCCCAATGATGCCATCCTGCCCCACATTCATTGAGAGCGCTTCCCGCAACGGCATCTCGAAGAGTGAGCCGTCACCGTCGCCATTGACAGCCTCACAACCGCGGCAGAGAGTGAATTGTCGCAACAGCCCGGAGTCAGAGACCGGCTTGGTTAGGTCGCCCGTCAAGCTATACGTGATCTGTTAGCTACCTTGTCTGAAGTTAACACGGTAGTGACGGGACGAAGAGGGAAGACGCACTGTATTGATACGAGGATGCTGTCTGTGCTGAGGCTCTTGCTGGAGTTGAGCTTGTCTGCTCTGGGCGGCTGCTGGAAGCGTACGTGTGTGGCAAGGGAGCTGGACGGAGAGGAAGGATTGAGGAACAACAGGTTGCCGATCGGCCTGCTATTGCTGTCGCTGCTACTGCAGGAGGAAGATGTGTGGGAGAAGAAATCTACTCGGGCACCGACGCGGGGAGTTGAGGAGGGGGTTTCTGGGCCGCACATCGTGATCTTGTGTTGTTGATACGGGATTCTTTGCTTGTCAGCTGGAATTTGCGAGAGGGAAGAAGCTCAGCCATGCCTCCTTTGACGAAGATATAAATTGGAAAGCTGCTTCGACAAAGGTATCCCATCGCTGTTCGTCTCAGGTCTTTTAGTGTATGTCGGGCCAGCAAGATTGACTCGGCTGTCAGTGAGAGGTACTGACAGTGCGCCGGCCAATCATCCTGTCTGAGCCCAATCGAGTCCATTCCTGAGATCTGAGATGTGGACAGCAGGGTTCGATTAAAAGCCAATCAGGTCGTCAGAAATTGACAAAAATTGCCTCTTTAGTCATTTACGCCTCTTGGCAGTCAACCCGGATCCGTTTTGGGACAGGCTGATGAGACAAGATGCGAGTGGGGCCACGGGTCCTTCACCACGTCCAATTGAGCACATTTGCGCGGGAATGAGGGGCTACGGTGCGCGTGCACCTTGACGGACATCGCTGACGCATTGTTAACCTCGATCCGCTGCGCCAATGCGACAGATGCGACAGGTTGACACCAACTCACACCAACTCATGCACCTTGATGAACAACCTCTTTGAGCTGGTTTGCGGTTGGTTTAAGAAGGTTCTCAAACCCCTTTAATAGCTCATATCGGCCACAATGGTCAACATTAGCAGCCTTTGGCAGTATCTTGCCCTCCAGTCGCCGCTGCAATCCATGTCGGGCGAGCAATTCAACATCACCAAGATGGGTCTCACTACCTACTCGCTGCCGCAGCTGCCCTATGCATATGATGCACTCGAGCCGCACATCTCGGCTCAGATCATGCAGCTGCACCACAGCAAGCACCACCAGGCATACGTGACAAACCTAAACAAGGCGCTTGAGTCGCATGTCGCTGCCGTTGCCGCGAACGACATCGCCAGCCAGATTGCCCTGCAGCAGGCCATCAAATTCAACGGCGGCGGGCACATCAACCACTCTCTTTTCTGGAAGAATCTCGCCCCGGCGGGCAGTGACGAAACCAGTCTAAGTGCTGCGAAAGACCTTGTTACGGCGATTGAGTCGACATGGGGCAGCTTTGACAACTTCAAAAAGACCTTCTCAGCAATCCTGCTTAGCATTCAGGGTAGCGGCTGGGGCTGGTTGGTGAGAGAAGGCGGCCAGCAAGGTGGCCTACGCATCGTCACCACCAAGGACCAAGACCCCGTTGTCGGCGGGGACATTGTCATCTTTGGCGTCGACATGTGGGAGCATGCGTACTATCTCCAGGTTTGTTGCCCGATCTACCGCCTCGGCAATCATTATACGGAAACTGACATGCCTTCAAGTATCTGAATGGCAAGGCTGCTTATGTCGAAAACATTTGGAATGTTATCAACTGGAAAACGGCCGGGGAGCGGTTCCTGGGCACGAGCAGCTCCGATAATATGCCCGAGTTGTAGACTCCCGTACTGTGTTCAGATATCTGCACATCTGCCGTGCAACCTCAGCCTACTTTATGTTTGCCGGCTCCTAGTTGGCGCCGTGGGGTGAGACTGCGGCTTTCATGTCAATATTTCTTCGCTCACAAATAGGTATTGGTAACATTATCCGAGGCGAGCTTCAAAGACGAGAGTCACCATCCTCTCGAGCCAGGCCCGACAGCCTCCATGTGGCAGTTTTAAGTTGAAGATTGGCTGAGCTACCTGACTACAAACACTGTCGACGCGGACATATCCCAAAGGACCCCAATATACCCTCGGCTGTTCCGCATGTACAATACATAATCCGCGACAACGCTACCAATGCCATTTGTTAGCTTGCAAACAAAGGCCGGACATGTGTACATGTCGTTGACTGCATCCGCTAATCTTGGCGCAACAAATCACTCCTACCTTTGGCAGACGGGAAATATGGTTTGCTTTCCAGGATGTTAACTGAAAAGCTTATCACTTACCCGGTGCGACAGTCTTACCATGAGACCTCCCTGCGGGCGATAATAATACTGGCTCGTGAGTACCACGTATTCAGATCGGTACTCGGGGACCATCCTTCACGTTACCTCAGACGCCTATCACTGATCACGGTACATTGCCTAAGGTCGGGTACTATCTCAAGCAGATGTCTTTTCCAGGGTCAGAGGGCGCCGAGCTGCCGCTTGACAAACAGTCTTTCTTCATGGCAACCGTCTCGTATTTGTTTAACTGACACGGGAGAGCTAGACACGCCGGGTCGTCTCAACCGACTTTTCATTGTCTCCGACCTGATCTGAGTTTAGTATCACGCTTATTGTTGACCACGGGCCTGGAATGACGATGCTCGGAAAGACTCCATGCCCAGTCAGTGTAACGGGATACTAATACATGTATCGAAATGCGCTGCCTAGGTACCAGATAGGTCGCTACCGGCTCCCTGCATCTCAACCTTCCAAAAAGGACAGGAAGTCTCAAAAGATGCAATATATGGATTGGCACGATCTGGTTGCAATCTCAGACGATCGAAATATCGGCCAGGCAACTCCCGTCTTAAATCAGGGAATTCAAGTAGGTGCGTTCAAATCTTACCAACCATCTGGCCTGTACCTTATCAAACCGTCCTGAACAAAGGCAGTTGCTGATGCGGCTGCAGGACGCAGCACCCTTCTGAGAAGACATAAGGAGCTCGCAGTACTACTAGCAATAGGTGTCTACTCGGTACTAGAAGTATGAGACAACCGAACTTGCCCGCCCCTCCGCTTCCCGGGCCGTCTCCGCGGCATCATTTAGGGTAAGGTACCGTAAGGTAGGCTTGCATATCGGGCATCTGCATATATCTTAATCAGTGAAACCTCAGAAATCGCTGTGTGGCGCCTCGAGTTTTCACACTCGGTCTTTGGCTGGAGTTGCACTGCACCCAGTCAGGCACATGAGGCAGGCTTTGGCCATGGTCCCCGACGAGCCACAGGAATCCGGGATCAAGTTTACTAGCAACCTATATCCGTGGGACTCGACGTTAGAGGATTTCAAGAACCCAAACCAGGGCTGTCTTGACAAAAACAACATCATGGATCTACACAGGCAACAGACAGGGGCGCAGGGAGCGACGGCTACCGGCGTGCCGCTATGGGGAATGTCGGCTTCATACAGCAATGGACGAGAAGTAGCTGGTCTCTTCCCATATCGGGCAGTTTGGAGCACAAATTGTCTGTTATCCATGTTGATCCCACACTTACAGCTTATTAGGCTCGCACACCTTCAAGAGTGATGCTTGGGTTACCATCTACAGAGTCCCGACTCCCAAGTCTTTCGGAGCGACTACGAGCGGGTCTCAGGGGTACTGTTGTACGGGAGAGTGATGACCCGCATAAACGACGAGAAAGAATGGGGATATGAAAACAAGGGGTTTGGCTCCGGTGAAAGATATAAAGGTGAGGAGGAACGCCTGAGGATCGCTATCTTGCGTGAGTTTGCAGTTGCTCATCCTCCACCCGGGCCGCCCACTTCTGGTCCTCAGATCTTTAGCACTTTCGTTCGCCCGGCAGAGACAAGGACTCACTCGCCATGATAACAGGAATCCGCCCCCTGACTCTTTTGAGTCTCTGGTACATATACTCCCATTTCTCACTGCTACGGATCTACATTGACAAGCTCTTCACAGCGGCGTCACGCTCGGTTGGACTCCGTTTCGGCGGGGCCTTGTTCGCTATCAAGCCGGCTATGGCGATCTGCCCGAGGTTACGCTCACGTTGCCAGCGGTTACGCTCACGGATACGGCTAGCGAGAGCGCTGCCCCAGTCCAGACGACTGCCCTTGACAGCGGGTCCTGCAGCCCAATCTATGTTCCGACGACAGTAACGGTCTTTACGGCTGGATGTCCATGCGAGCTGTCGTCAGCCACTACAGTCTCGGCTGTGCTGCCGACCCTCACTTCGCTTCGGTGGAACTACACAACGGCCCTTCTGCCCAACACGACCACTGTGTTCGAAACTGGATCAGCGTTGCCGACACAGGGAACTCTCGTTGGAACCGGAGGAGCATCTTCTTTGCAGACTCCATGCTCCGGGCTAAACGGAACACATGTGCCCATCGCTGAACCTTCCTCTACATTCAGCACGGCATCTTCACTTCTTCCAGTTGAAACTTCTCAGGGCCAGGCGGGCCCAACCGCTCCGTCCTCTGTAAGCATCAGCATTAGTGTCTCAGCCGGAGCTGGGACTGGTCTCTCTGGAAACAGCTCAGCTGGTGTCCCAACTGTCTACGTCCCCAGTTTGACGTACGAGACGACGTCAGATTCAGGCGAGTCTGAACAAGGATAACGCATGATGTTCAGCATCACTAACCCATCTGTAACAGCTCCAACCACCACTGCAGACGTCTCCACGACAGCAGATATCCCCACGACAACAAATGTTCCCACCACAGAAGATGTCTCTACGACAGCTTCCGACTCTAGCACCTCAGTTGCCGTGGAGACAGAGAGCATCTCCACCACCGGCGACATCCTCGCCACCTTCATCATCCCAGGGGAAAGCAGCTCAGGCAAACCCTCCGAGTCCACATCCACACCTGTCTCCCCCACCGTGACCCCTTCCTCATCAAGCGATGACCTCCCCGTGTACGGCGGGTATACCTACGCTTTCAGCATCCCTTTAGCAACTACCGTGACCATCACCAGCACCGCCACCACTACAACCACCATCGCCGCCGAGAGCGCCTCCCAAGACAGCATTGCCGAACCTGTCTCGGGCTATGGTGGTGCTGTCGAAACTGGAGCCAGTAGTGTTGCCCCCGCCACCGGCACCCCGGTCTCCGTGCCGGCCGGCCCAAGTGGCACAACTGCTGCTAGTGATGGTGGAAGTGAGGGCAGTGGTGCTACTAGTGGTGGTGCCGAGGCGACGCCCACGACGTTCCAGACCCAGACCCAGTCCAGAGCGGCTGGTACTAGTACTAGTACGGGTACTGGGCCAGTGACGAGTTCCGCCTCGAGTGCTGAGGGTGGTGACGGTGACGGTGATGGTGACGACGGTGATGGGGGATATGGTTATGGTGCGTATGGGTCTGGCTATGATGACTCGGAACGCAACGGGGATGGTGATGGCGGCGGTGATGGCTATGGTGTCGGTGATGATGATGGTGATAGTGATGGTGATGATGGGTATGGTGACGGTGACGGTGACGATGGCTATGGTTATGGACTTGGAGACTTCCTCAACAGGCTGCTGGGGTAACGGCCGGTGGCTGGCAGGACAAGTCTCTCACGCAGCAACAGAAAAGGGGCTGGTGCGATGTTGATATGTATCAGGAGTAGTACTGAGTTGCAGACGTGATAGCTTGTGGGCAGGGGCAGGAACTTCAGGGGTTCAACGTGAGTCTGGTTGTGTTGTAATCAAACGTCTATAGCAGAGTTAGATTTAAAATTGTAGTGCATGCAGGGAGAAGGCCGCGGGGTCTTTAGGACACATTCACCAGCTACCTCTCTGAGTCTGAGGCATGTTGCAAACTAAGCCAAGCGTTTGCCAGGCCCGGCTACCCGGATACAAGCGGTCCAGTCCTTGTATTCATATTAGTTCCAACCTCTTATTCCCCCGTCCCAACTACGAGAAAGGAGCAGACCGTAGAAAACTTGACGGATGGGCAATCTCGAAACCGGGAAACGTGTTGTTGTTTCGAGATATCGGTCCACTTTCCAACATGCAACACATATATAGATGTTATGGTCGGCCAATCAACATCACCCCACAAGGACATCAGGACTGATTTACCCGGGCATAGCTTATTACAAGTTTTTGATTTAGAGATAACGACGCCTATAATTAGGCCTGGAAGCAGCAACTTTCTGTCTCGGTTAGCGAACGAATGCTACGGCAATCTTCGAACTCTGTTGTTTTGGCTACAAATTGATTGCCCCTGAATGCATCCAAACAGCCGGGACCAGGTTTTGACGTTCGGTGGAATCCGCACCACCCCAACTGGGCTTGATTTGGGTCAGGGCAGCGCTCGAATATGATGCTCCAGCTGTCACCCGGACGCCGGTTGCAACGTTGGGTTTCTTCCGTTGTTTCCTTCTCCTCTTGTCTACGGAATTACAAGTAAAACATCCGGCAAACGGAGTCGTAATGTCCTGGACCTCGGTCATGAATAAAGTATTAGTATGACTCCCCGGTGTATATACCTGACGATTACCCAACAAGGAGCGAAGTAGTTGAGTTGCCGAGAGGAGATAGAACGGCCCAGAACAGACTGTTGAATGGTTCAACCACTTCCCAGGGTGACCGAACACAGCATGAAGTCGCTCTTCATTATCTCAGCCGTGGCTGTGGCGCTCTATGTCGATGGGGCACTGGCAGCGCCGGCAGCCAACTTTGTCGGCTCCTGCGACGCCAACTCGATCAGGATCAGCGACAAGATCCTGACAGCCAACTGCAGAAACATCAAAGGGCAGCTTACGTGCTCCAAGCTGGACCTCGGCCGTTGCCTCAAGAACAGCTACGGGTCTCTCCAGGCCGATCCAACCGGTGCCGGGTGAGCAGTTCGGACTGTTCATGACACGAGAAGCAATCTTCCGGACTAATGTCAATGATAGACCACACATGTCCGACCAGTGCATCAACTGCAGCAATAGCAAGCAATCCGGCGGTCTTGTCATTGGTGGACCGACTCCGCCATCCTTGCTTCACTGCCAGTGCAATCCTGGCACGGGGGCTGCTCAAGTGAACTGGCCGACGGCCATGTTTGACCTTAGTCAGTACCTAACTTTTGATAAAGAGTGTCACTGAAAAAATTTGGGACTGACGTCTTGATGTTCAAAGACACCATTGTCGACAATAACAACGGCGTCCTTGAGTGTTATCAGACCAAGGGCACTGCATGCTGATCTGGATCATCTGGAGGTACCACTGGCAAACAATCCATCATCCATGATGTGAATCGATCCAGTCCAAGTTCCGCTGAAGAGTTTCGATTTAGGTGCATTGGATGCTCTGAGTATTCTGAGTGCTCTGAACGGGTCGTGGCATTTTACCAGGTCTTGAATATCTGTCACATTCCAGTAAAATAACTTGAAGTGAATCCGAGGACATGCTGTGCGAAGTCGAGGGTTTTTGGAGCTTTTACGCCACAGCATGTGGATCCCCAACCCTCAATCATCAATGGCCTTTCCATAGTTGGAATTGAACTTCAACTGTAATGAAAACATGTCCTAAGCCTAACTACATAATTACATATAGTGCAATTTAGCTGCACATTCGACTACATGGCATCCATCAGAACGAGGTCAGCCGCAGTGAGGCAATCCAACGTGCCCTTTCTGGCATACCCGTCAGCCAAACAAGACGATCTCAGCCGCCGGCAATGTCTTATCTTCTTCATTCCCGGCAACCCCGGGCTCGTCGCTTACTATGTCCCGTTTCTGAGCACGCTGCGCCAGCTGCTAGACGAGAAGGAAGCGCGACAGGATTGCCGGCATGCGTTCCACATCTACGCCCGCAATCTTCTCGGCTTCGACGACAGCGACCATGATCCCGCGTTCGGCACCCTGGCGGCCGATGGCGTCAGGATAGAGCCCTACACGCTCGAGGACCAGATCTGCTGCCTCTGTGAGCGGGTCCACGACATCAACACCTCAGCCCTGCCTCCATTTCCGGTTGATGGCGCTGCAGAAGGCCGCGCGAGGGTCTTTGACCAAGTAATACTTATCGGCCATTCCGTAGGCGCCTACATTGCGCTCGAGATATTCAACCGCCACCATCAGTCGGCGCCTTTTAGTCCCCTGTCGAGCGTCAAGCTCACCGCCGGCATATTGCTCTTCCCCACCGTCTCGCACATTGCACGGTCGAGGAGCGGGCAGAAGCTCGACCTGCTGCGCCGGACACCGTTTCTCGACCGGACCGCGCATCACATGGCCAAGGGCTTTGTGGACTTGTGGCCGCGCTGGCTGCTGGAGGCCCTTGTCCGGCGAGTGCTCGGCCAACCAGAGCACGCGGCACGCGCCACCATCAGTTTCCTCACTAGCAAAGACGGCATCTGGCAGGCTCTGCATATGGGCAAGGACGAAATGAGAACCATTAGTGAGGAAAAGTGGAGCGAGGATCTCTGGGAGATCCAGGACGCCCAAGCCGACGACGAGACGAGGTTGGCCGCGGCAAAGTTCTTCTTTTACTTTGCTGAGACGGACCACTGGGTTGCCGATGAATGCAGAGACGAGTTTATTGAGAAACGGAGGAGACATGAAAAGGGCAAGACGAAGATTGTCATTGACGAGGATGCTATTCCTCATGCGTTCTGCATAAGTGAGTCTCGCACTGTGACCTCTTCTACTACTCCGTACTGAGCCCCCAAGCTAACCCGGCGATCCTCAAGACCACAGTGAGATGGTGGCCGAGAAGGTCAAGCGGTGGGTCGAAGATGTTGTGGGTTGAGTAAATGCCGCGGATTACTAGAGCTCACTCCCGCGTTTAACTCTCCTCGCAACGTGCTGACCAACCGACGTTCGCTCCGTCCTGTCAGCCGGGAGGAGGGATCTGTCTTGAGAGAGATAGCAACCATGTTTCCGCGTGGTGAACTCGTCAATCATTTTGAAGTACGAATACACGTCAGACCAGGCTGGAATGAATAGCGATGGTCCAGTGCATGCGAACCGGGGACGCAGGGGTTACGGTCTGGTACTAGTATACGCAGATTTACGTTTAGGCATCCAGATTCTCTGCAGAAGCATTGGCCAGCTCCACCCCTACACTGGAAGCACGACGCAAGCAGCGCGGATCTTTGTGCTTACGTGTACGGATACTAGTAGGTATCATCTGCGAAGTACCTTAGGTGCGGGGTGAACGAGGTAAGGCTAGGTGCTGACTGCTGGCTACGGATACATGCGGATGATCAGTCCTTGTAAAGGGCGTAGACTGTCGGGTGGGAGAAGGATACATGATCACGAAGTCTTGGGGAGGACAAGACAGAAATCTACTGTGGTTTGAAATCGCCAGTTCAGTAGGTCGTTGACCTTTCCTAGGCCCACCCTGAGGTCGATTTTTACAGTTGACTGCCATCAGGCCAAATAAAGACTCTTCAATACTAGCCCGCCTTTAGCATGCGTATAGTGGAAAAAGACATATATAGGTACATTTAAGCCTAGAGAATCTAAGTCTACCATTTTTTTGATGGCGCGGGCAATGCGCGAAGCAGCATTGATGAAGTTCGTTTTGTATAGATCTTTCAAGAGATTTCAGTAATCTTTCAGGGAAAATTTCAACATTCTTGGCAAAAAGTGCTCGAAAAGACCCATTTTCAGCCCATCAAAATCGGCTTGCGCATTGCCCGCGCCATCAAAAAAATGGCAGAGTCAGATTCTCCAGGCTTGAATGTACCTATATATGTCTTTTTCCACTACGCGTATGCCAAAGGCGGGCCAGTATTGAAGGGCCTTTTTTTTTTGGACTGATGGCAGTCAACGACAAAATTCGCCCGCGAAGATGGATCCCTTTTCCTCAAAACGTGGACCCGCTGAACTGGCGATTTCAAACCACAGTAACTCGAAGATTTAAAAGACTAGCATTGACTCAGGGTATCATACTTCGTGGCAGCAGTTCGCCTCCATGTCCTTCAAACGATCTTTGCATCATGATAGTAACCGTTACGCCGTGCTCCAACAATGCCTTCCGTGGAGCATTCAATGCCCGCGTGTCTCCGCGTTTGTAATAATTCAGATCACATTGGTATAGACAGAGTCAGTCCGACAGCTTGGTAGCGAGGGCCACTTCGTCCGGTCTCGAGGACAGAGTTGTTCAAGCAGTACATCTAGCTTGTTTGTTCCAGACTTAAGCTCTGTCGGTGCTCGAAAGAGCGGCGAGTTGGGTGATTAAGCACTCGAGGAACATTGGGTAGCCGTGAGCTCATGTGGGAATTGCGGCGTCCACGGGGGTTTGATTCAGACTGGGATCAACGGGGCTCGAGTCTAGGGCCGGCTGAGCCCCAGGCCGGCACACGGCGTTCGGGTGTGCGGTGGCGTTTTTGGTTTGTAGCGGCAGGTCGGAGATCCTTCGCCCCTTCATCTGCTGTCGCCTGTCTATCCAGCTGCATATGAAGAAGAAAAGAAGGAAGGAGTGTAAAATCCTGTGCCAGGCATGTTAGCTCTGAACAAGCAAGCGCGGTTCAATGCTGGACCTGAGGCCACCCACATCAACAATACCAATAAGGTTATGCTGGCGATTTCCTTTGACAACGAGTCATAACGGGTCCCGTAGTTCCCGACGCCAATGATGACATCCACGACTAGTAGGCCAGTCGCCGAGGCAACTCCCACAAATACAAGACCGTCAACCCATGCGTGGATGCTCGGTGAAATTCCTCTGTCCCCGGTCCCTCGATAGTGGAAGAGACATACAGCAATGAGCTCAGCTATATTCCACAGGGCGACGATGGGACACTGGATACGAACGGTTAGCTTTGAGAAGGAAAGGGGACTGGGGTACGGGCAACAGAACTAACCACTAAAACCGGTAGCAGGCAATCAATGGAATAGTCCGCTCTACTCCTCCCTACTATTATAGGAAGGACAATTGCGGTCACGGTCGTTGCCACCGCAAGCGATATAAGCCTGGTAATGAGGCAAGTGACGAAGAAGTCCCTCCCAAGACCGGTGGGATCCCTGAGCCTCCATTTTTTGAGCTCACTCGTCGACGGCTTTGCTGTAGGTTCGGGTAAGGAATCAAGCCAGTCTTCAATATCGGGGTTGAAGACAGCAGCCGGCCGAGTCGGCGGTAGTCGCAGGACAAACCCTTGCATTGGAGGGTCGGCGTCTCGAACTCTCGACAAATAAAGGCACCTAATATGTTTTCACGTTATGCTGCCCGAACCGCCTGCGAGGAATCTGAGAGGACATGAATTCCCCTTTCAATGGCGTAGCTCAGCATGTCGAATCCGGTCGCAACATGAGGTCAAAACCGTGAAGTTTGAACAGAGCAAGAAGGCCGTTGGGCGGCTTTCCAGGCCGAGCAGCGGGTATAAACAACGTGCCGGCTCGGGGGGATGGTTGTCTCGAGGGGATTCGATCCTTCTTAATAGCCCATGATGCCCGGGAGTCCGGGATTGTTCGTACATGCAAGAGATGCAACGCCCATTCACGGCCGGGGGTTTTCCCGTCGCGATTGTGATAGTGTCCGAGACTGCATCATTGAACGACTTCGATGAACTCGCCTGGCAAGACCCGTCCTTAAGAACAATCGAAGCTAGTGTACAGACGCACTCAGGGGGTGGAGGAGGGGACTTTCAGACCCTGTCCAACGGGGAAGAACGTTAAGCTTTAGGCATCCGTGAAACGAACCCCCCTGCCACCAGTCAACCACACCCAAGGACTGATTCCAGTTTGAGGATGTATGTACTGTTACCCTCGACTTCTGGATCTGGAAATTGCGACCGATCTCGATTCCGATCATCTTTGCTGTCCTCCGCCCTTGTGTCGCAACCCCGCGAAGGTAGCGTCGTATTACTGCGCGCATTCCTGAAAACCTACCAAGTGCCTAGGCAGCGTAGGCTTTGCTTGCCGTTTGGCCCATTCGGGCCATTCCTTCGGCACCGTGGAAAAAGAAGAGATGATGCTTGGCGCTCATTAGCGCGCCAGAGGACAGCAGCATCGCCTAGTGCTGGTATTGGGCTGTCGAGCGGATAACCGCTCGGCTCAGAACTTCCGATGCCGTCGAAAGAGGATGTTTCCCGATTTTCCAGTGCATTTGCCGAATACCAAAGGTACAACGGAGTATTCTGTCAAGAGGCATTTAGTGCATAAGATCCTTGTGCCTGGTGACGTCAAAGCAGCCCTAACTTGAGTGCTAGTACAGTACCTTGGTACATACCTTAGTACTCCGTAGCTTCAGGTTACGTTAGCGAACTGTATACCTTACATACAGTGGACAATACAACTTAACTCAGGCTATGTAATAGTGTAGAAAGTTGATACCGGCGACGACCAAGAAGGGAGAGAATAAGTATGCAAAACGAGGTATATCAAGGGACATATTGAATCAGAACAGAACTGCTAACCTTTTCATATTCACCTTTGTACTAACGCGCGGCTATCGATCCATACGGTGTAGTTGTCACTTGCTGCCTTGCTGCCTGGGCAGCAATCAGGCTGCTATCTGTTATCAGAATTTTTTCGAAGATCGCCAGCCCCACCACAGGCTTTCTCCCCCACCTTCTGCTTCAAACCGACCAACGTCCAGCTTCTTGCCTCACCGTCATTGCCCCGGTCCATAGGACAAAGGAACTAAGCGCAATCGCCCGTGTTCCTCGAATTTGGACCGTCAAGTTAGCAGCTTATAATTTTGTCTGCTGAACTTTTTTTTCCATCCTTGTTGGCGCACGGAACGAATATACGAAACCCCGCCATGCCGTCCGCATCCAAGGAAAAGCGCCTCGCCAAGCGAGCCGCTGAAGGCAAAGAGAAAAAAACAGTTGCGTCTCGGTCTAAAGCCAACTCCAAAAATGCTAGCGCTGCTGGGTCTGTGAACGGCGACGATACGCCCCCGGTTGAGCTTGATGCCAATGGGAACCCAATCGAAGCAGATGAGCCCGCTACGTCGGCCGAAAAGATGGACGAGGTCAAGCGTCTGGCTGAACAGATGGACAAGCATGGCCTCTCGGACCGTGTCACTACCGGTGTCCTGGCGTCAACCGCTGCCAGCAAGGACGTCAAAATCACCAGTGTTAGCTTGGTTTTCCATGGAAGGGTACTAATCTCGGATTCCACTCTCGAGCTCACCCTGGGCCGACGGTATGGCCTGTTGGGGGAGAACGGCTGTGGCAAGAGTACCCTGCTGAAGGCCATCGCCGCTCGTGAATACCCGATTCCCGAGCATGTCGACATCTACCTACTCAACGAGGGTGCTCCTCCAACCGACATGGGTGCCTTGGAGTGGGTTGTCAAGGAGGCCGAACTTGAGATGGAGCGCCTTGACAAGCTGGCCGAGAAATTGCTTGAGGAGGAGGGTCCCGAGTCTCCCGTTCTTATGGATCTGTATGATGTATGTGCTGCGCTCACTTATTCCTCGCTACAGGATCCGACTAACTCGAGGCATAGCATATGGAAAAGATGGATCCGTCTACCTTCGCGACCCGCGCATCCCTCATTCTGACCGGTCTGGGTTTCAACAAAACCACGATTCACAAGAAGACCAAGGACATGTCCGGTGGGTGGAGGATGCGTGTTGCTCTTGGCAAGGCCCTCTTCGTCAAGCCCACCCTCTTGCTCCTCGACGACCCTACTGCCCATTTGGACCTCGAGGCCTGCGTGTGGCTAGAAGAGTATCTGAAGAAGTGGGACCGCACCCTTGTTTTGGTTTCTCACTCTCAGGACTTCTTGAATGGCGTCTGCACGAGCATGATTGACATGAGGCAAAAGAAGCTCATCTACTACGGCGGTAACTACGACTCCTACGTCAAGACACGATCCGAGCAGGAGACAAACCAGATGAAGGCGTACCAGAAGCAACAGGACGAAATCGCCCACATCAAAAAGTTTATCGCCAGCGCTGGTACCTATGCGAACTTGGTCAAGCAGGCCAAGTCCCGGCAGAAGATTTTGGACAAGATGGAAGCCGATGGCTTTATCCAGCCCGTCGTTCCGGACAAGGTCTTTACTTTCCGCTTTGCTGATGTCGAGAAGCTGCCTCCTCCTGTCTTGTCCTTCGACAACGTCACCTTCTCATACTCTGGCGACCCCAAGGATGACTTGTACCGCAACATTGACCTCGGTTTCGACATGGACTCGCGTACGGCGCTTGTGGGTCCGAACGGTGTGGGCAAGTCTACCCTTTTGCGCCTCATGACTGGCAAGCTCTCTCCCACGGCTGGCTCTGTGACAAGGCATACGCACCTGAAGCTTGGCCTTTACTCCCAGCATTCGGCCGAGCAGCTCGATCTCACGAAGTCGGCTTTGGACTTTGTTCGGGATAAGTACAAGGAGAAGTCTCAAGACTACCAGTACTGGAGACAGCAGTTGGGTCGGTACGGTCTCACTGGAGATGCACAGACATCTTTGATGGGCACGCTATCTGATGGCCAGAAGAGCCGTATCGTCTTTGCCCTCCTAGCTATTGAGGGTCCTAACATGCTTCTCTTGGATGAGCCTACAAACGGCCTGGATATTCCTACCATCGACAGTTTGGCCGACGCTATCAACGCGTTTAGTGGGGGCGTCGTAGTCGTCAGCCACGATTTCAGGTAAGCTGCTTTTCCCCCTGTTCAATGATCACCCCCACCGGCTCTTGGTTCTGCGGAGCGATCGGTACTAACATCGCGTTCAGACTACTCGACAAGATTGCCAAGCAGATTCTCGTCTGCGAGAACAAGACTATCAGGCAGTGGGACGGCACGATATCTGAGTATAAGAATTACCTGCGGAAGAAGATGATTTCGGAGGGCGCTGTTTGAAGCATCTGATGGGGCATTTTGCACCCGCCATTGCGACTAGAATGACAGCCGAGGGGCCCTTTCCAACATGGGCATGTCCAAGACAGGTTATGCAGGAGCAGCCAACAAGAAAATTTATGGTAAGCCCTGGAGTACAAAATTCGCCACACATGGGAAGTGCTCAGAGCATGGCGAATGTTGGCTTGGGGGCACGGCGGGAGGGAGGGGGCTCTTTTGCACTTAAGTATGGGCCGGCGACGATGATATGTTCTGGGAGGGATAGACTGTGACCATTGCCTTTGTCTCGCTCCATACAAATGCCCGCCGTTCATTAGACACATCGACGGAAAAGTTACACGCTGAATAATGAAAGGGTCGGGATTGGATCATCTTTTTTGTTTGAGTCTTGCTATTTCTACGTATTTCGATATCGGGACATTGAAGAGGTGAAAATCCATTTGAAGCCCAGCGTCACCATCTACCGAAAGCGCAGCGTCGCGTCTTGGTGGGCCGACCAACCCCCGCCAAATCCACAAATCCCAAGTTCCCAACCCCGAGCCAACCCGCCCAAAGGTGGATCTCGTGGATTAAGCCTGAAGCCATCACAAACCTCTCTGAAAACGGGAGTCGAGGGCGGCCAGGGACGCAATGGCCACTCTCGAATCCTCGATGGGAACAACGGATTTTACAAATCGTTGCATTCACACTATGTATCTAAAGTAAAAGCACAGATTCCTCTATGGGATAGAGAGATATCTGAACTCTGCTTCTCAAGAATCGCACTCGTTCCATAAGTCTTCGAGATGCCGGTTTCGTCCACGACCTTACAGTAGTAGCCTTACGCAATTCGTACCTTTCGTAATTACCCTACAAACACACCAGCTTGCAGCCCCAGCGGGTAATTAATTGACACCGGGCTGAACAATGGCTCAATTCTTGGCAAGCAAGGGGGAGGGGTGGAGTTGTCCTGTTAATGCACTATCAATAAACCCGTCTTATGGAGCACTAGCTGGTGATGACAGTTGAGATGTTGAGTAAGGAATTGACGACCAGGCTACTATTAAGGAGTTATTAAGACCAAGTAACTCACGATTCAAAGAATCTGCTCTGGTTCTGCATATAATGTATTGTACACTTGGCCAGTCAATCGGTTGCCCGTGATGAAACCGGCCATGGAAGTTGGCAGCCCAAGCCGGGTGCTAACAGCGGGTGGCCAAGCAAGTGTTCGCTTAACAAGGGGCTGACGGCTTGGCTGGAGTGGCACTAAGTTATCTGCCCTGCTCGATCGGGACCGTGTGGTCCACTGGGATGGATCACCTTCGCGAAAGGTGCGAGGAAACAGGCGTCAAAGGGGCATTTTGGGGGGAAAAGACTCTGCGCGGCACACCAACGCAGCAAAGCAGATGTGGCCAAATGGAGTAGAGCAGTCTAGCCTGGCAACAACGCCTGGCTTCATGGATTTTCTAACCAACGCCGCCATCTCCGGCACATCCTTCCAAACTCTCGCATCACCACCATCGTGCTGCACACCATTGCCGTAATTGCCATCACGGGATCGGACGCCATCCAGCCCTGGGCCATCGCTTGATTTCCATCATTGCCCATTCCTCGTGATTCACGTCCGCTCCAATCAGTGCAGCTGCAACACAGCTCCCAGCGAGCCCGGCAATAGACAGCCATCCACCACGAAACACCTGGGACGACGTTGTGCTGACCGCCGATCTCTCGCCATTTCATCCGATAACTGCTGCGAATACCTTCAGTCTCGGCGTGGTGCTCTAGCCTAACGACATCGCTACTTCGTACCTCCCCCGAGAAATCGCTCCTTTGACTCGGCGTGCCTACCGCGACTGCTCTTGCTAGACAACCAAGACATCCTCGACAGGAGTTGCATCTTAGGCTAAGAGAGTGTCCATATCTTGATTCCGAAGTCCGCGAGCCTACCGGGTCGATGGAGCTAGCATAACCTGTAAACACTGCAGAGTGACTCGCCGTGAATAGGGACATCGAAAGTGGCACAATGGACCACTTCTCGACGGTACTCCAGCGACCTCCTCATTTCGATGAGGACGGGAGCAACGGGGTGACGAGCGAGGACCGTGGACCACGAGGAGGCCTGCGCGACATCCTCAACCCCGTCAGCACAACCTCACAGGCACCGTTAAGCCATGGGACGCAAGGAACGCCAGGAACGCCCGGAGCGCCTGCACCGCCTCGACCACGCTCGTCCTTCAATCTAAGATCACCAACACAACCGGATTATCACCACCCGGGTCCCTACTCTACCTCTCCGCCTTCGACCGGCCTCAGCAGTCAGCCGTCAGGCCCTCGTTCCATCCTCAACAACCCGTTCGTTTCAACCTCCACCCCTTCGCTGCCGCCGACAATGCAAGCACCACAGGGCATTGCATCATCAGCGACGTCCTCCGGCCTGCAGCATCCGCCCTTGTCACCATTACACGCGCCCCCTGTGTACTATCCATCAGAAATTCACGATCGGGAATTGATGCGCGAAAAGCCAGCGCCCAGCAGTTTTTACGACCCAACCGTCGACGCGAGGGAGCGTGAGCGGAAGGTCTCAGACACTGCTTCCTGGCGCAACGCGACGCAAAACTCGACGCCAAAGGTAAGCAAGCCAACTGTGCCCGCCCCAAGGCCACCATTTGCCAATTTTTCTTTGTTCCCCCAATCTCTACCTTTTGATCATCCTATTGTGCACCTGCCACCTGCTTTACAAATTGAGCAAGGCCTACGAAGCCTGCACTTTTTCTCTCTGCAACCAGGCTTGCCCTATTGTTCTTCCAAGTTGTCCATTACCTTAATCACTTCCTTGATCCCGCATGTGCTGGATTTGACTGACACGATAGTTTTCTTGCCATGCAACTCTAGGCCCGCGATTCGTACACTTATTCCCAACCCTCGTCAGAATACTATAACGGCAGCTACACTTCGACTGCAGCGCCATCTTTCCCACCGCGAAGTCCTGTCTCCCATCCACATCCTGCTCCCTCCCTCACCATGGGATCCATCAGCCCATCATCGAGGGTCCGAAGCATTACATCGCCTACTTCGAGACATGTTCCTGTCCCCGCCTCGGATCTCAACGGAGCGACATCGACAGCATTGCCAGCTCTCTCGCGGATCGAATCGCCAGCCCCTCGATCCAAAACCCCAGCTGCTGCGACTGTAAGATCTCATCAGCCCTGTGCCTAGTGATCCCCTGCTAACAGTCTCCGTCTTAGCCTCCGAGTCGTGCCGCCGGGGTCATGTCCTTCTCCAACATCCTCTCGAGTTCCGAGCCACTTTCTAAGCCTAGGCCGAGTTCGCCTGTCATTGTCGACGACACGCCTATCGCCGCTGAGAAACTCGGACAAACTGAGAAGATCGACAAGGCCGAGAGGGATAAGAAACAGCCTCGCAGGATCACAAAGTCTCGTCTCTCAGATATCAAGGCTATTGAGTCAACGCCCAAGACATCGCGGAAAGTCTCCTCCAAGCAACCCGAGACCCCCGCCTCCCTGAAAGTGCCAACCAAGAGGCTGGCCAATGGTGTTCCGAAGCACAAGGTTTTCTCTGCGGACAAGGAAAAGAAAATTCGGGAACTTATGGAACAGTTTGATTATGAAGATGTCAACGATACCGAGTTTGACGAGGAGGAGAAGGCGTGGATGGAACGGGCTCGTCTCCGTCGTCAAGAGATGAACCGCCGTGATATTGCTTTGAGGCGATGTCGGCGGGGGGATTTCGCCGAAGCGGAAGCTCGGAAGCTGAAGGCGCATGCTGACCTAGGCAAAGCCCGATACGATGATCTCCACTACGATGACGCGCTACAGGAAGTCCGAGAGCGTGAGGTTTTTGCTGAGAAGGAGCGCAAGAAAGACATGCAACGCAAGAGACGACGTGAGAAGTCCATGGCTACGACCATGGAGCAGAGGCTTGCAGCTCTTGCGAGGGCTTCCGCCGCCCAGGATGAGTCTGAACGCCAGAAGTACATGCGTGAGGCCGAGCGTGCAAACAAGAAGGTGCAGCAGACGAAGTACATCTTACAGAAGGGATTCAAGGGCCCCGCGCGCAACGTCGGCCCAATCGAACCGAATCTCGAGGGCGGCACCATGGTGACATTCCAGGCTGAAAACATGGAGCCAGGCAAGTCCAAAGGTAAAGGCAAGGCTGGCGGCAGACTCAAAAAGTCCAAGGAGCAGAAACAAGCCGAGAAAGAGTCGGCTGAGGCTGCCCAGGCGGCCTTGGATGCCGGCGAGGAGCTTCCCAGCAGAGAAGAGACGAAGATCCGGATCAAACTGAGCAAGACAAAAGTAGCCAAGGAGGACGCCGACAAGGACAAGGAAAACAAGGAGTCAAGTAATCTCAAGGACAAGGAGAAGGCCGTTGAAGAACCGAAGGATCCCCTAGAGCTGAAGTTCCAGTCTAAGGGTTTCAACCAGATATATGACCAAATCTGGCGCGATCTTGCCAGGAAAGACGTCAACAAGGTCTTCAGACTGGCTACCGACTCCTACTCTACAAAAGCTTCGAACCTCAAAAAGACGGCTATCCTCGCGTCAAAGGAAGCGAAACGATGGCAACTCCGGACCAACAAGGGCACCAAGGATCTCCAAGCACGTGCCAAGCGCGTCATGCGCGACATGATGGGCTTCTGGAAGCGCAATGAGCGGGAGGAACGTGACCTGCGCAAGGCAGCCGAGAAGCAGGAGCTCGAGAATGCCCGCAAGGAGGAAGCAGACCGCGAAGCAGCGCGCCAAAAGCGCAAGCTCAATTTCCTCATCTCCCAGACAGAGCTCTACTCTCACTTCATCGGCAAGAAGATCAAGACAAACGAGGTCGAGCGAAGTACCGATCACCCCGATGTGGCCGCTGAGGACAAGGAAAATGTCCCAACGCCCACGCTTGATATCGAGGAACCCACTGGACCTGTCGGCTCCAAAGTAACCAACTTTGAGAGTCTAGATTTCGATGCCGAAGATGAATCAGCTCTCCGGGCCGCGGCTATGGCCAACGCACAGAATGCCATTGCCGAGGCACAGAAAAAGGCACGGGAGTTCAACAAAGACGATACGAAGCTCGACGAGGATGGCGAGATGAACTTTCAGAACCCCACGGGCATGGGCGATGTCGAGATTGAGCAGCCGAAGCTGCTCAACTGCCAGCTCAAGGAGTACCAGCTCAAGGGTCTCAATTGGCTCGTTAATCTGTATGAGCAAGGCATCAATGGCATTCTCGCCGACGAAATGGGCCTCGGGAAAACTGTGCAGTCCATTTCGGTCATGGCCTACCTGGCCGAGAAATACGACATATGGGGGCCCTTCCTTGTCGTCGCCCCGGCATCGACCTTGCACAATTGGCAGCAGGAGATAACCAAGTTTGTCCCCCAGTTCAAGGTCTTGCCGTACTGGGGCACCGCGGGAGACCGCAAGGTATTGCGGAAATTTTGGGATCGCAAGCACACCACGTACAAGAAGGATGCCGCCTTCCACGTCATGATCACGTCGTACCAGCTTGTCGTCTCAGATGTGGCATACTTCCAGAAGATGAAGTGGCAATACATGATTCTTGATGAGGCTCAAGCCATCAAGAGCTCCCAAAGCTCGCGATGGAAGTGCTTGCTTGGGTTTCACTGCCGTAACCGACTGCTTCTGACGGGTACGCCGATCCAAAACAATATGCAGGAACTGTGGGCGCTGCTGCACTTTATCATGCCGTCCCTGTTTGATTCCCACGACGAGTTCAGCGAATGGTTCTCCAAGGACATCGAGTCGCACGCCCAAAGCAACACAAAGCTAAACGAGGACCAGCTCAAGCGTCTGCACATGATTCTGAAGCCGTTTATGCTTCGTCGTGTCAAGAAGCATGTTCAGAAGGAACTTGGCGACAAGATTGAGCTGGATGTGTTCTGCAACCTCACGTACCGTCAGCGGGCTATGTATTCCAACCTGCGCAACCAGATCAGCATCATGGATCTCATTGAGAAGGCCACCATCGGCGACGATGACTCGGCCAGCCTCATGAACCTGGTCATGCAGTTCCGGAAGGTGTGCAACCACCCCGACCTATTTGAGCGTGCCGATACCTCCTCACCCTTCTCGTGCGGGTACTTTGCCGAGACGGCTTCGTTTGTGCGTGAGGGCTCAAATGTCATCGTCGGCTACTCCACGCGTAGCATGATTGACTACGAACTGCCTCGGCTAATCTGGCGCGACGGTGGGCGGCTAACAAAGGCTGGCCCCGACAATCCGGTTGCTGGCTTCCGGAGGAAGTATCTCGATCATATGATGAACATTTGGGCTCCCGACAACATGCGAGAGAGTCTGGAAGGCACGGAGGGCTTTTCATGGCTTCGCTTTGCGGATACCAGCCCTCAAGAAGCCTACCGGACCAGCCACCAAGACATCTTTACCCGTGCTGCGGAACTGGCAAGGAAGAAGTCTCGGCTGGGTGACATCAAGCTCTTCTACGATGAGCCAGAAGATCAGGGCTGGACACCGGCGCATGCCATGTTCCAGATTCGGGAGCAAGAAGATCGCAGGGCACTGGCCACGTTTACCGACTCAGGTATACTGGACAACCTGATGAACGTGGCACGCCCTGCATTTAGCGACGTCGGACTCGGGCGACTGGAGCAGGCTGCCCGCCCTCGCGCCTCGGCTCCGCCGATTGACGTTGTCTGCGATAGTCGCGGCGCCGTCATTGAGCGCGAGAATATCATGTTCAATGCGGAGATGCGCAAGGTTCTGTTCGGGCCCACGCCGGCTGAGGAGAGAGCATTTGTCTCGCAGAAGGTGCCCCTTGAACGCTACCCACCGCGTGGCTTGCTTCCAGCGCCGGACAAGGAGAAGCAGCGATTCACCAACATTACAGTTCCGTCAATGCGCCGGTTTGTCACCGACTCGGGCAAGCTCGCCAAGCTGGACGAACTCCTACGGGAGCTGAAGGAAGGCGGCCATCGCGTGTTACTGTACTTCCAAATGACGCGTATGATTGACTTGATGGAGGAGTACCTGACGTACCGGAACTACAAGTACTGCCGGCTGGACGGTTCAACCAAGCTCGAGGACAGGCGAGATACGGTCGCGGATTTCCAGACGCGGCCCGAGATTTTCATCTTCCTCCTGTCCACTCGAGCGGGAGGTCTTGGCATCAACCTGACTACTGCGGATACTGTCATCTTTTACGACTCGGACTGGAACCCGACGATCGACTCACAGGCCATGGACCGAGCGCACCGTCTCGGTCAGACAAAGCAGGTCACGGTATACCGCCTCATCACGCGTGGCACCATCGAGGAGCGGATCCGCAAGCGGGCCATGCAAAAGGAAGAAGTCCAGCGTGTCGTCATCACCGGCGGCTCGTCAGGGGCTGGCGGCGGCGTCGACTTCTCGGGCCGTAGGGCGCCCGAGAACCGCAACCGCGACATTGCCATGTGGCTGGCGGACGATGAGCAGGCCGAGATGATTGAGCGCCGCGAGAAGGAGCTCCTGGAGAGTGGCGAGTATGACAAGCTGCAGAAGAAACGGGGCGGTAAGCGGAAACGGGGCGCCGAAAATGCGCCCGTCAGTCTGGATGATATGTACCACGAGGGTGAGTCCTGGCCGGTCCCATGATTATGATTTCAGTACTGATACATTTTGGATGCAGGTGAAGGACACTTTGATGACAATAAAGGCTCGGGCGCGGCTACCCCGGCGGATGCTGAAGCAGGCGAAGCGCGGGCCGGTAAGCGGAAGCGGACCGGTGGCAGCAAGAAGGCAAAGACAACCAAGCAGCGGCTCGCTATTGCTGATGGCGAAATCGATGCATGATTAGACTGGGCTGTGGAGGGAGGTTATGTCTCAGTTCATCGAAACGCGGCTGCCTATTTCCCCGCGGCCGGCTTCACGCACGACTCCGCCCGCAGTGTCACGTTACACGGTGGTATGGGTGAAGGAAGTTGGGAAGTGCCGATTCCCGCTGTATTTGTAGGATTACGACTGGGACAGTTCTCTTTAAGGAGTGGTGTACAGGGGTTTGGGGATTTGGGGGAAATCGGCGGTGAGACAAAAGACGAGTTGGCTCGTTCAGCACATCTGGACTGGTGTTACCGGTGATGGGAGAGCAGCACATACAGCGACCGCAAAGATATTTCCCCTTGTTTTTTCTGATAGACTCAGAGTCTGTTTTGCCATGACCATGGTTCGCGCCAGCTTAGCTTAGCTTATTCGCTCTGGGCCGATGAATACTACAGCATTGTTGCTAGCAAGCTGATCACGATGACGTTGTCCCATGATGTTCGGCAGAGCATACGCTCCTCCCTCGGGATTAGTACTATAGAACCAGACTAACAAGTACCCAAACCGTCTCCATCATTCCCGATTACTATAGCGAACCACGACCGCCACCTCCTAGGAAGCAGTCACAGACTCGTAGGCAAAGCCGTGCTTGTGGGGCGGCATCCCAGCTTCTGCACTCGCCTCTCCTCCTCGCTTCTCATCCCTGCCCTTAATCTGGTCGTCGGGGCCAATCTTGGTCCATGACGACGGGGACGGGATGGTAAGAACCGGCGACAATGACGATTGTGATTGCCGTTTTGGTGCGTGATCGACAGCGAGGCCCTGCAGCACGCCAAAGGCCCAGCGGACGGCGAGGAAGGAGACGATGGCCCAGGCCCACACGCAAAAGGCGATGGCGCCGGTGATGAAGAGCGTAGGCACCAGGATCGCGAGGGCCACGCCCGTCCAGAACAGGCTGAAGACCAGGGCTGCGCCGGCGGCGAACAGGAAGGTGGATCCCGTGAAGCAGATGAAGAGGAGGAGGGGGATCAGGGTGAAGGCTGTCAGGGAGAGGATGAAGGACTAGGGAGAGGGTTAGTGTCTTTCCCCTGGCTCCTTTCAGGTGAAAGGGGCAGGTACATACGAATAAGAGTGGGCGCGCCAAGGCAAAGTCCTTGGTTTGTGCGTAAGCCTTTTCGCGGGTTTCAACGGGGACAAGGCGGTCGACTTGGCGTTTTGTCAAGCCGAAGAGGTCGGCTGCGACCTCGGAGACGGCCATGGTGGAGTTATTGGTATGGATTGTTTCCTGAAACTAGAAAGCCGGGAGGTTAAGGCAAGCTACTGTGTGATGCTGAGATGAGGGAAGGGAATGATGGAGGTTGCTGTTAAGCTCGGTTTGGAGGTGCAGACCGCTGACGTATGATGTTGGTCAGAGACACAGCGTTGGGTCAGCTAACCGAACCTAATTGGGCACTAACAATAGTGGGAATTTGATGAATTACAGACTATAACACAGCTGTACGGAGTACAGTACGGTAATTGGAGTGAGTCCTTGAACGCCCGTATGCATTCCATGCAAACGCACTGTGTGTGACCTGGGCCTCACCTTGGTGCAGTACCTTATTTTGGCTCCGGAATAGATAGATTCGGGACCTGTAGTTTCAATCCAGCCGGGAGGGATCGGATCGGGAGACTACGTAGGTTTCGAAGCAGGCGTGTTGGATGCCGGCAAACGACTGGCGAGTGAGTAGTATGGCTGGATAGCTGCGTAGCACAAACTGACCAGGAGGTCAACAACGTAAGGCTACCTTATATAGGTGACTAGTACACTCCAAACCACACATTGTAGAAGTCGCAAGCCTTAGGTAGTTTTACGAACAGGTACTGTACATACTATCCATTCCAATACAACTTGGAACTGGGTCAGAGACCCAACAATGAACAAACAGTTTTGTGTCCCATGATCTCTCATGCAGTTTCCGACGTGGCGCCCCTAACAATTAACAAACAGTATACCTATTTGGGGAGTTTGTTGTGAGACTCCCCTGGCTAAACAACCATAGTCTTCTTGCTGGTCTGTCCCAGCTCGAGGATAGCATGGAGGCAAGGGCGAATGAAGACTGTGCTGAGTGGTTCGCTAGGTATGGCCCCCAAAGTTAGCCTCAGTCACCATGTCCCGCTCCCGGTTTGGTATTGTACAGTACGGTACAGATTGGTTGAGTTCGCTCTAGAATCCGACCCCCCTGACAAGTGTAAGCAGCTTAGATTCTCGTCCAGTATATCCAGTATTCTTACAACCAAGGAACCTTAGGTTGAATACCTTGCTGACGGAGGCCAGCATTTCAGCATCTATCTGATACGAGTGGAGCTGTTTTGTCATTTCTAGCAATAGTAGCAACTTACCACGTGTAAGTGCAGAATAACAGCTTTCCCTTGCTTGCCCATCGCCTTGTTTGTGTCCGTGAACACATACGTTGATCCGTGTTACAATCTTGGGAACAGCAGACAACTAACTCATTCTTCTAGGCGCCCTCATCCACCGCGCCAGCATCCTAGACAATGTACCGCTTTAAGCAAGCACGGTTGGTTTGTTCCCTCAGAGCGAATCCGCATATATAAGGTACTAGAGTACCTTGCACAATACCGCAAGTTTTACTGCCTTGATCATTTCTAACAGCTTGACTCAACCCGGTAAAATCTCTCTACACACTAAGCTTTCCTTGGTTTTTGCCCCATAGAAACATTACCTGGGTTGCCCACGATGTGTGTATTTGTGGAAACAACTTACCGGTGCGGCCATGGCAATATGCTTGCCCAATACTCGGGCGACTGCGCGAGGGCGCCCGCCCAGATTGCCGAGGGACGGAGTGCAAGATCAACCACTTTATGTCCCTGGCCCTCCATAGAAAACTTTGACCACCATGTATACCACGAGAAGTGCGCCGTTTGCTACGCCAAGTTCAAGAAAGAAATGCAGGCCAGATTTGACGCCGAGTGGGATTTCCATGCACAACAGGCTCGCAGCAGCCGCACCCTCCTTACAGTCTTGGACGGCTGGATGGAGGAAATGGACGAGCTACGCGAGGCCCTTATCGATATATGGGAAGCCAAGAACAAGATCATGGATTTAGACCCAGCTGTGGAATACTCGAAGTGGCTCCGCTCGCTTTTCGTACTCCTCGACAGCCTCTTTACCGAGTGGACTCGCCTAGAAGCTGGCAAGCGGGAAACGGGTCCCAGCCGGGCTTACAATATGCAGTCCACTGACAGCAGTGAGCCCCCGAGTGAAGTAAGCGCCAGCAACCGGGACCTGAGCTGGTCGCGGCAGCGGAGGAAACGGCGGGCGTATTTGCGGGATCACCGACGGGACTCACTGGAGCAACGTCGATGGATGGCCGCCGCGCAAGAAGATGTATAAGTGGCGGAAGGTCGTAACAGCAAGGGCCTTACCACAATGCAGTCTGCAGTCCATAATCTAGTTTTGTACTAAGTCTCTTTGCGTTGCTTGAATGACATGTGTTCTTCCTTGCACATCAGAAGTTCAATATTGGCCCTCGGCTGTATAGCCCGTGTAGGGTTTAACAATGACAACTGGGAAATGTCCCCTTGCCCGGGCCTGAACCGGACTTGCATGTCAAAAAATCAGGGCTGTCTGATGCTCAAGATCCCTCTGTCCCCGGTAGGTGGGTAGTACCTTCCCTCACTAATTGCTTCTGTCATGGTACTTCAAGCCGGCACGGCATCTGTTAGTGTAGCCAAAATTTTGTATGCAAAAACGATCCTCTCTACTACCGCTCTTAACAGAACTTCGGGCCTGACATGTATGTACATAGATACCTTACCTAGGAGTGGACGGGTGGGATTGTAGGGTGCGCCACACATGCATGCAGAGTGCTTGAAGCCTTGCACCCAACAGAACCACACTTGTCAGCAGCCCCTTGGCGATCTGAAGTTGCCTGTGAGATACATGGTAAATTGGAGTCACTGCCTCCATTCTTGAAGACACAAAGTACTTAGAGGGAGGATATGCTCAATGGGCCGCGTGCGACTAACGGTACTCAACCTGCCGCTGGCCTCTCGGATGGCACGGGCGCTTTGTACAAGGACACGTTATCCGTGCCGACCATGAGTCAAGCAATATTGAAAGATGCACAGGTGTACAGTACCTTCACACGTATCTATAAAACAGCCAGTTACTTGATGTTCCCGGCTTTGATGACACCAGCTTTATCATTTTCTTCTACCAAGCAGTAGCGTTCACAATCCTAGCACTTATCAAGAACTCAGCACGTCTGAATCGATTACCATCCACATATCTTGACCTACTACTACAGTAACCATACCCCAAATGTGCCTGATCAAAAAAGTTGAATATTCGTGCGGCCATGTTGTGGACGAACTGGCCCACTGCGAGCGTGTACGAAACCAAAACAGCAGCGGAGCACACCGAAATGCGTACACGGCCTGTACAGTCGTCCCCGTGCCGGATCCGCCAACAGTCAGTCGGATGATGTGCAACGAGTGTCACAAAGCTTGGATATACCGACGAAAAATGAAATGGCAGGTTGATTGGAGAGGGCTTGAAGGGCGGACTCAAAACCGGCATCTCACAGAAGCTCGATTTTCCCGACTGAAAGACCTTGTTCAGTCTCAAATCATGCTACATGTTCCCCTGTGGATCGATGACACCCTCACTGGGAACGGGCCCACCATCTACGAGGCATATCCCGAATTCATCAGGAGAAGGATGAGCGAGATAAGGCTCTTGATGGGCGGAGAGACACCTTACTAGGTACGGTAGCTTTTCGGTTGAGAAGAGGGGATACAAGGCACAATGATGTTGGCAATGGCCACCTACTAGTAAGTTATCCCCTTGAAACAGATCACTTTTGTGGCCTCATGAATTAAGTCGTTCCAGCGTAGTCAACGGCCTCAGCCAAAACAGCTCATTAGCACTCAGACGCTTCTGGTGTGTGATCAATGCAGCAGTCCTTAGATAAACGGGCATGTAAAATGGGGCCAGGTCTTACCTCCAGTCGGGTACCAAAGCAGTCGAGAGCAAGGAGTTATGATCATATCAAATACCATAACAAAGCCCCAGATAACCAGCGATATATTGAACGGTAACCAGCATCAAGATTGCAACGCACATTTGCTCAACCTAGTCATATTTCATCTTCAACACGTCCCAGACTCCCAACCAGTCTTACTCAAAACCTACAGCCTCACCATCAATCAACAACATCAACAACAGTCAAAACAACAAACTGGACATGTGCCGCCTCATCCGAACGCGATACTCATGCGGCCACCCAGCAGCCGACGAATTCCGCCCCTGCCCGCATCTCCTACGAGCCGTACGCCTCGCCACCTATACCAATACCATCTCCTGCCGGGCACGACTGGGAAGAGACCTATCGCAAGACCTAGAAATCAAGTGCCCGCCATGCCACGAGGACTGGCTCTGCAGCATAGTAGCCCAGTGGAAGGCCGAATGGGAGGAGCTGGAGGCCTGGGCGCGGGCGACACGGAGCGCTTACAAGCTGCGGACCGTCCTTTGCGCGCAAGACGACCGGCGAAAGGAGCTTGCGGAGGAGCTTGGCGAGCTTGAGAGGGCTATGCGCGACTGGGGCCAGGGGGATATCTACCGGTTGCTGTCGAAGTGGATGGCGGAGCAGTTGGCGAGTATCAAGATTGATATAGGCTTGTTGTAAAGTTGTTATGGGGGAATATCAATATGGGCGGGGGAGGGGACGAGAGGATGCTAGTGGTGTTAGTACTTGGCTTTCCTGCTTTTCCTTGCTGGTTCTTTAGTTTGGTTCTCTTCCAATTACCTGTTATCCAGTATCCTATAGATTAAGAGGTCCTAAGCTCCTTCTATATACCAGTAGTAGCTCCAGTAGCAGCTGCAAGTATTAGTTCTGGACGGTGTCTTAACTGGACGACGCATAGCGCCTGTAAGTTCAATGAGAACTGGCCTGTCTATGAAACTACCTATGGAGCGATACCTTGCGATGCGAGTCTTAAAGTCAAGAGTGGACAATGAATTCCAAACCTAACATTGCTCTTGTTCTCAGTTATAACATATCTAACGCAGAAACCACAAGCTCAATCCTGAGAGCATTAACCACCACCTTCTCTGCTTCTCTGCCGTCCAAGGTACCTCAGTCCAAGTTTACACCTTCACAACAATCTTCTTTGCACTTACACCGCCCAAGAGAACCTCCATCGCGAGTTGCAACCCCTCCAAGCCCCCGTCAATAACCTGGTAGGCGCTGGGTACCACCGTCCCGTTGGCCAGCCACGCCGGGATTGCCTCCCCATACAGCCACGCCGCTAGGTCCTCTCGGCGTCCCCACACATCACCGCCTGATATCCACGTCGTCTTCACACCTTCAGGGACAAGCACCTCATTGTCCCACGGCGTCGTATGCGCCAGCTTCAACGGCTTTCCTCCTCCCGCCTTGAGCAAGATCTCCATCGACGGCCGGAGAGTGTCCGGGTAGGATATCACGTCCACCGCCAGTGCGATGGAGATACGTGCTGTTTCTGCTGCAGCAATGATGTCGCTGACCACCGTGGGGGCATTATAGTCCACCAACACGTCGGCACCAAGCGAGCGCAGCCAGTCGTGGTGTTTCGCGCTGGCGGTCACAAACACAGTCATGCCGGCCTGGCGGGCAAGTTGAATAACCATGGACCCCACCATCGAGGCACCACCCCAGATGAGAATGCCTTCACCGGTTTTGGTGACCTGATCTGGCTTAACGGTTAGGTCCGGGACCGGAACGCCAAGGACGTCGTAGAGGGCCATGGCAGTGGTGGTGACGCCCGTGATGATTGTAGCGGCTGACAGGAAGCTGATGCTACCAGGAATCTTGGCAGTGCAGTTTGCGCGGGCAACTGTATAGTTCTGGAACGCAGTATGGGTAATTTCGCCAGTGTGGATGCCGTCGGCGATGGCAATGACGCGATCGCCGGGCTGCAAGCCCGTCACACCTGGACCGACGGCGACAACCACTCCGCTAACGTCTTGACCAAGAATGGTCGGGTATGACTGAATCAGGAAACCGTAGGCCCAGCGCTTTGTGTCGATCGGGTTCACGGCGATGACCTTGTTGCGGATGAGGACTTCTTTGGGCCCAGGCGTCGGGATGGGACGCTCCTCGATGGTCAGCGGAGACTTTGGGCCGGTCATGACCGCGACGACGTTCTTTGCTGTGGACATTGTGACCTCCCTTGCGTGTTTCGTGTATTGGAGGCGAGGTGAAGCTTGAAGGTGTAGAAGCGAGGAACCCCATCTCAACTGGGTTCCAAGCGTGCACTTATACCCTTCCTCTCCCGACCTACCCGGTTGTCGAGAGCTGCTTCTGTGACTTGTAGCCGTTAGACTCTCGGCGTTGTCCTCTATGTCCGAGAACAACCTGAAGACGGAGCGCGTGCTCCGGGCTTGGCGCCCGAATCTCGGCCAAATTGGCCGGTGCCAAGCCCCGACCCGAATGTGAGGCTCACGCCGGCTGACATATCACAAAACAACCTTGTGCGTGGCCGGCTAAATTTGCCGAAGGAGTCAGAAAAAGATTTGCGAGCATGCCGCACACTGCACACAGTGATCAAAGCCCGGCTAATACAGCAGCGAGCATCATCCCAAGCTGGTCCAGGTGGGCATGCCAATCGTCAAGGATATCGTCGATGCCACTCCCGAATCTTCCATGCATCAACGCCTGCGAGCTCTCTGAGGCATGTTTCGCCATGACAAGGTCACCGAGAGTATCTAGTCGTGGCTTTCCACTCTTGAGGTCGGCCCACCACTCATCATAGACTCTCTCCCATTCGTCGGCAGATCTGGCCTCCCAGAGCGCCTTGCTCCCAGGCAAGGGAATGGCGTATGGGTTCAGGATGACGTCGCATGCCTCGCAGCCAACAATCAACGCCAGGAGAAAGCAGACGATGGCGAGTCTCCCGGACTGTTAGCTGAAACCAGGCCGGTGGAACAGACGAGGCCTTACCTTCGCCTTGTCTCTTCAAATATCCATTCCTCCCAAGTTGGCCGAGTGGCTCGGATATGCGGCGGGTTAAAGGGACCAGAGTGAACCTGGGCAAATCGATGTGACAGATCCTGTGAAGGAAATTAGACAGGATACTTATGGGTCCCAAGGCAACAAACTCACCTTCATCGTCCGTAGCATCTCGCGGTTCAAAATAAAATGCTGGTACCCTGAATGCATCAAACGCATGATTGTGTACATGACCATGGCTTGTATTGATGCCAACGTTTCGCCGGGGGATAGCTGGGGCATCTGCTGACAAGTCAGATCACTGCCAGGACAATCTGTGTACATAGCGACTCACTGCATCCCTGATCCGCCGCTGTTCGGCCTCTATTGTCTGCCAAAGGAAGTCCTCTGAGTTGGGCACTCTCGAGACAAATATGCGGGCGATGTTGACACAGCCAGCTAACGGTCTCAATGGAGCAAACACGGGAGCTCCTGACTCTACAACCATCTGGCACGGTTCATTATCGTTGTACTCCAGGCCACAGCCAACGCGGTGGATGAAAGGCGGTAGACTTTCAGGCTTGACTATCATGCGTGGAAATGCTCGGACTAACGAGATGATGAGCTGACGGCAGCTGTGAGAGATGTAGCGCTGTGACCAATACTCTAGCGTCACCAGTGTTACATTGGCATTGCTGGTGTTGATGCTGTCTGAGTTAGGTGCCAGTGGGAAGATGTAAGAAGATCCTGCAAGCGAGTTTCTTGAAAGCTCAGGAGCAGGAACGCAACTGTCGACGTTGGTGATGCCCTCCAGGAATGTTCCAAGTCCATGCGACTCTTCGCTCGGGGCGAAGTTGCTCGGAACCAAGCTTGCCATATCTGGCATCTCGAACTCGGGCCAATTGGGATTCTCAGAGATCAGCGGAATGCCATTTGCACTGTTTGAGGCCTTGGCGGACAAGTTGTCTTTGGCGTATGAGCAAGGTGTGCACTTGGTGATGCATCGCGAGCAGGGTAGCTGAAAGTCACATTTCGTTTTGTTCTTCCGACAGGCATGGCACGCCTTTGGCCTGGATGTTAGCTTTGCGGCAGCCTTGCGTTGACAGTACTTCTCGTGTCGGGCATGCGATGTGCCTGGATTTCGTTATGCGAATCAGACCGGGAGATCGAGGGCAGAGTGTGACCTTCCCGTCGGGGCATACCTTGATCGAATGGTTTCCCACAGATTGAGCAAAAGCGCAAATGCCCTATGGGGAGGGGAAAATCAGGATTTGACCCAGTCGCCATTGCTGAGCTCCATTCGCTAAAAACGAAGAGTTTGGCAAAGAGATGCTGAAGGACGGTGCGGACATGCTCTTTCCAGGACCTTGATGAAGTCGAGAGGCAGGCTCCGGACATTGGTCATCAAGTATTTGCCGAAGTATCGGTACAGTATGAAACTGGAATTACGAACAACGAAATTACGGTAATTCTATAGGTGGGGCATATCGAGGAGAAAGTGTGGGGCTCATTTTGCTCTTATTTTTCAGGAACCTGATCGCAAGAGCCAAGCATGGCGGAAGCGTCCCTAATGTTGTACAATTGTCCTTGACGTTATGGAAAAACCTTTATTTCTGAACGACACTTGAAATGAAAGAAAACTGCCAGTCATTATATCGTGTCACATCAGCCATCATAACCGGTCTGTCCATCTGTGCTCAGCGTGTCTCTTTTGATGCATCTCCGTCGTCGCCGCGACTGTCCCTAGTCGAGTCCGAGCTTAATAAGGAAAGATCGAAGTAATCATTAACTCTATGGGGTTGCGGCGGGTTCGGCATGTCGCTATTCGGCATGTTGTCGGCAGATGAGCTGGGGTTGCTGCAGAGGTGAAGTTCTGGCTCAGGGCATTCGGCAGTCGACCATGCCGGAGCGGACACTGACGCGCTGGACCATGACCAGCGCGACATCTGCGGCGGCGGCGGCGGCGGCGTCCCCGACGGGAATGTTGACAAGGACGGTGTTGAGAGTGGCGGGATAAATGGAGCGGGTGGAGGCACAGGTGACGATAACGGTTGCTCGCAAGACTGTCCAAAGTACGGAGGATCAAAGACAGGGGCGGGTCTCAGCGCGCAGATGCCACACGGTTGTTGATGCGGTACCCCTCTCCAATCTGTCGGGCGGTAGGAGGGTGGATTTGGGGGAAAGTGAGGGCACGGCCTCGCGGTCTGGTGGCCGGCGCATGTTGCAGGCGTGAATTCGGGTGTGAATTGGGGCTGGAGCATTGGAGCAACGGGACACCGTGCGACATTGGTTGCCAATGGCTGTCGCGGAAGAAAGGGATTGTCGTAGGTTGTGGAGGGCGGCACGACTGAGGGCCTGTTGTATGCCAACACCTCAGGTGGCGGAGTGTATGATTCAGGGGGCGTTGGAACGGGCGCGGCATCGGAAAACGATGCATGTCTCCGTACTACCCGGATGCGATCAATTGGCGAGCCGCTGCGCATAGGAGCAAAAACACGGCGGCTCGGGTACATCGGGTACGGAGGCGGCGAGTCGTATCGACTATCGCAAGCTGATGGAGCAGACGACTCGTCCCGTCCCCGGCCGCTTCGATACGACGGCGGCGATACTGATTGTGCACGCGCTCGGTGCGAGGCCGGTGACTCGGATCCTTTTTGACGGCGGGCTTCCTGCTGACGACGCCGCTCAATGCCCCTGCTGCGGGCTTCTGCATTATCGGCGAATCTCCAGGGATTTGACGACCAGCCGAATGTGTTGAAACCATCTACATCGGCACAGGACTTCGTCTCAGCTCCTCGAAGGATCAGCGTATACAGAAGAGGTTCTTCCGGGCCGGGATTCTTCCAGAAGCGGATTTTGTGGCGCTTGACTTCGGGGAAGTCGGCTTGAGCAAATCGCTGGTTTCGCTGCTCCCGCATGGAGACAATGGTCCAGACCCTTGTCCGGTAACGGGATGAAGATGTCCTTCCCCTATCAGAAAGGAGCCCAGCCATGGCCATCCTCACCTTTGCCGGGAGCTTGCTGCATTTCTCTTCGAGATCTTGCTCGTAAGTCTTGGTGTTGCCGCGCATCGCTCGAACAGGCCAGCAACGCTTATGCTTGGCCTGGAAGGCCTCAACGGCGTGCAAATGCATGCTAGCGAGTTCGGACTGCGTAGATGGTATTGGTGTCACAGTCACCTTCCCACCTACGGTCCTGTACTCCTTTTTCCCGACCCCCAGCACTTCAGCGCCGCCCGTGGCAATGTGCGTGTCGGGCACGAAGATCATGTTATAAGCCTCATAGACAGGCTTGTCGAGGTCTTCTTTCCCGACCGAGCTGGTTTCGTGTCAAAGGTATGGAACACCAATAATGGTTGGTCCTGGATACTGGATACTCACAGGAGTGCTGGCAGGGTCTCCTGGACCGAAGCAAAGGTGGTATCTGATGCAGTTGAACGGCTCGAGATGCTCTCGGTATCGCTATAGACGGCCCAGTCGTCGTCGTCGACATCCGAGATGTCATTTACCCTCGCTACCCCTCGTCTCCTGACTGCAGGATCCTGCATGGGGACCATGATGAAGGTAGTCTGGGTGGCAGGCCTTGAACTTGACGGAAGCTAGGCAAAGCAAATCGCGATGGTTCTGCTCAAGAGCATTGGGATCAGGGAGCAGACAGTCGAGTGGCCAGCAGCGATCCATTATATCCGCTGGAAAGGTGGGGATGCGTAAGCCTCAACCGCACAGGCAGAGACCGTAAGGCTGCGGGGGACATGGGTGCGGTGACCAGGGTGACTGCGGTCATCTTTGGAGGAATGCTCTGTTGCATCAGGTCCTCTTGGCGATTGGCGAGCAGAATCACCTGCTGCCTGGGGAAAAGCGAGAAAAAGCGAGACGCACCATTTCTTTGCACAATGATCTGCAGCAAGACAAACCTCTCGAACTTTCATTGGGACAACGACCTGTCTGCATTGACGGCCGACGGCAGATGGGGTTAGCCCAATTGTCGGTTGTGCATATTGCTCGCAGCACCCACCGTCTTGCTGCACAATCCTGCACAATCCATTGGTCAATGGATGACCAGACAGCTGCGCATTCTTTGCGCCCCGCAAAAGGCTGTGCAACTTGTCCCAGAATCCCGCAATTCGGGGAGCTGTGGGCTCGATTGTGGCGATGCTGCAAGCTTAGCTTCGGAGGCCACCCCGTCCGGCCCGTGGTACCCCCGCCCCAGCACTCCGGGTCAACATCTGCCGAGGCCTCCGAGAGGATGTCTTGTGCGCTCCCGTCATGTCCCGTCGATGGTCCGCGGACCGGGCCCACTGATAAGAAATGTCCAGACAAAGGCATCATCAACATGCTCGCCAGCGTCTTACCTACCTTAGTAGTCAACGATGCATTCGAAACTCGAACCCCTCGGCCCCTAGCCTCATCCCGATGATTCTCCTCACGTAGTCTGCCGGCAAACAATCAACTCCGTTCTCTGCCCTAACCGTGCGAGGATTACCCGGTTCTCAGATCGTCAGAAACAAAACTCAAGACGGACTGCAGTGCTCGAACACATTGATCTAGTGTGCAATACAAAGTACATGATTGATCATGGAAATATCCACACCCGAGCCGGTCCTGGAGGCAGAGATCGGGCATGTTGCGTCGCTGTCCGGCAATATTATGCCTTGACGGCAGGTAAACAGCATACAATATCGTGTGTACTGACCGGGGTTGCGAAGTGCCGCCTTCCTACCAAAGATAAGGTAGGTTCCGAAGGTCCATCTCAACTGCCCAGTGGCCCCAGTCTGTCTGCCTTGTTCCTTCCTCCCTTCTCGGCCAACTCCCTCTCTTCCTTGCAGCCAATTGCAACATCTTGGCACCCTACGACTAACACATCCCACCGTCTTTCGAACGGGATGCGCAGATTACTGTTCTCATTGACCTTTAGCCGCACTCGGCTCTGGATCGTCAAGGTTTGGAATCCACGACAAGCCAATATCCAGAGGAAGCATGCTAGGTTAACAACCAGCCTGATGGCTCTTTCCAACCACCAACCTAGGTTTTCGTGCTCCTTCGTTCCTTCCCTAGTGCACTGTTTGTACGGTGCATACAGTACTGAGGTAATTCGGTACTTCAAAGTTTCTCGGTCCTGCCCCGTAGGCTTAGCCTTCTCTTTCATCCCTCTATGAGGTGCCACCGTTGCCAGACACGACTCGAAGGCAGCTGTGCTACTGTGCTTCGGTACGTGATTGGGTCGTTCAGCTACACCCCCGCCAGCTGAACAAGCCAGACTCCTAGATATCCTCTTGCTCCTGCTTTGAAGCTGGCCTTTTCCCTGCACACAGCCTCTGTCATTCATGCCTTCCTGTGCCCGTAAAAGGGGCAGCTGAACCATCGCAGCGGAGACTTGGAGAGGCAGTGCATCTTGAACAATCAGATATATAGTGATTCGGATGGTCTCCTTTCGTGTGTTAAATTCTGGTTTTCGAAGGCCTTGGATTCTGCTTCTACTTTAACCTTATCACAAATTATCCCTTTGCGTTGCTGAGTGGATGGAATACGAAGCCTGACGCGTTTCTGAAGACCCGGGTTGACCGCATTTCCTTTCCAGAACTGTGTCCCGCATAGCTGGGTTGGCTTGCACCATGTTTCGTACGGGACCTTCTGCCTTCGAATATTCTGTCCGCCTTGCTAACTGCCCTCTCACCCAGCATTCTCCCCTTCAAGCCTGCGGCCTTACCGCCCTGCCGCCTCGCGATTTGCCGGCCCAACTTACTTGAGCTGGTCTTTACCACACCGACACCATTGCACCGGACCTTTCATCCCGGTAACCGACGAGCAACTGCCAAGCCGATAACTGATGCTGGACCTTTCTATCCGAATGACCTTGGTACATCCAGTTCCTTAGAAGGCATCCAAAACATACCCTGGGACGACACTGCTCGCAAGTCAACCTCTCATCCCATGACCGGTGACCCCGAAGAACGACCCGTCATGTATCTTGCAAAGATGGACTGGAAGGCCCAATGGGACCTCGGGGAACCACCACTCGCCGAAGACATTCCGATACGACCAGCTGCATGCTCAGAAAGTCTGAATGGTTGTTCGTCGGATTGTGGTGATGGCCTTGCCCCGCGTTCTCCGGTCTATTAGTCGTGTTATGGAAATTGGAAATTCACAGCACCAACCTAGGTTGGACCTCGACACGCACCTCATAGGTCCTGGGTTTCAGTACCTACAGCCGATTGACGGACAAGCTAATCCAACATGTCGGATTAAGGCCATGGGATGTCTCTTATGGGGACACAAATTGCACCTATTTCCACACTTCGCCACCACCGGTTCTTCCCTTCCTCTGCTTTTGTGCTTGACTTTGAAGACAATTGTGCTCTAGAGCAATCACGGCTACCTCCAGTATGTCATACCCTCACAACTATCCCGTTCCCTCTCCTCCAGCTGTTCCAGATGGGTTACAGCTGCGTGACGATTGGGAAATTCCATCTTCCATCGGCTCACCATCCTATCCACTCTGGGCCGTTGATCATCCACAGCACCCTTAGTATGTCCGCGTGAGACTTGACTGGCATGCCTTGATTCTGACAAACTGCAGCCTTTCCGATTGCCTCACTTGTGACTGCCAGCACGCTATTCTGTGCAAAGAGCGCTTCGCCACTCTTGAATCTAGGATGAATGACTACTGCAAGCGGTCAGAATGCCGTTGTGGACAAAGCACTTGGTGCCGAACCAAGTCCTTCTTGAAGCGAGCATTGTCAATGGGGTCGCGAAGGAAGTCCCAGCCTACCCCTGGAAATAATCAAGAAGGGACACCTGAGTGGCCCGGAGAAGCTTATGCCGAAGAGGATGACGACATTCGACGGGCTCATGAACTTGAACTCTTACAGCACCCTGTTGAGCTTTTTGGCAACGACCATCGACAATATGAATTGGCCGCCCAACGCTGGACCGCCTTCTACCCGAGGCGGTGGGCTGCTTATTCCTGCCCGTCCGCTTCATATGCGCCGGTCTCTACAGGCTGTCACGCTGGTGTTACCATGTCTTATCCCGCCGCTTCTTTTCAAACTTCAGAACAGGCTCGCCCCATCTTTGAACTGCCTGGTCAACCATTTCACCATATGCAACCGATGACCCCCCAATATACGGCGAGCCCGTCTCCCCGGTCACCCACTGGCGTCTCGCTCGTAAGCGAGTCGATTGTATCAACCCGAGACAACCACTCTTTTGTCTCGCCGCAGACATCAGTATCCAGCGGTTCCACGGACTTGTCTACATCTCCCACTGTGGTGGATTGCCGCGTTCCTCTCTTCGCCGATTGCACGACTGAGTCTCCTGTCGAATATGGTCAAGGTGACGGCAGCATAGCTCCTTGGGATAGCCATCGTGTCGTGGCGCAACCGGGCTCCTGGGATTCAACAACGACTGTCGCGGAACTCCCCGGCAGCATTCCCCCAATTGCGCCAGAAACAGGCTTATGGCTGCCGGCAGCCGAGCTCGCAGAAGTCGCAAAGGCCACACCACAGTTGACACAGGGGAAGGCTCTCCCAGACTTTGTACCGTACCCTATTTCCTCGCCATCAAACCCTTTAGTAGGGGAAAGGGAATTACGGATACCATGTGACGAAAGCGCAAGTCAAGTCACGGGAAACATGTTGTCACAGGTTCCGGACCTGTCTATCAGCAGCACAAGCCATTCTATCGACCTGGAGAATCTTAGTAGTATCTTTTCCAAACTGCGCAGGACCCCGATCTGGGGTAGCGCGGGCATGGGGTGGCTGCTCGAGGTGTCGGACGAAGACGCTCTCTTGGCTGGGATCGACGAACTGGAAAGAATCCGACAGGGACAGGCGGGTGGTTCGGCCCATTCAAGATTGTGCTTCGCCCATTTAGTCCTATCCATGGCTGCTGAGAGGGGGAAAATCCTTCTCGATTCCTGTCGCACGCTCCAGCAAGAAATAGAAAATTTTGTCAACGGAAATGGCGAGTCTGACCCGCCTCAGTCCTTTTTGACTATATCCGGGGAATTTCTCTACGGTATGCCGTCACCCTGCACTCCGATCCGACCTGTTTCGATAGCTTACAGTCCATAGCACTCCATAGCCAGATAGGCTCTGAGACTGGCAACCTCTGGCACCTAACCCCAGGCCTTGAGGAGAGACGACCCACCATTCTCTCCCTCATCTTTATGAGGGCACAATTTCAAGCCCGGAGCGCACAGCACGGACATGATCTGCAACAGCGTGGCGTCGAGGTGCGGCAGAACTCGTGGAACTCGACAGCCAGCACTGTCCTCGACGTGGTTCTACCGGGCGAAGATCCGGGTGTAGTGCCTGAGGGAACATCCACCCCCTCCGCGACTCATGCTGCATCAGACCTTCCAAGCCAGCAAAGAGTGGCGGCTCGTAACAAAACACCATCACGTCTGAAGCGAGCTCAAAGGGAGTTGATGGGCTGTGGACCATGCAATTTTTTCCCAGCCAAGGGGCCAGATCAGCGCAAAAAGCTAGAGAAACACAAAAAGACCGACAAGCATCGGAGGAAGACCAACCAACTAGGTGCGGGTGAGCGATTTCGGTGCCCCAGTTGCCCAAAGAGCTACAACCGGAGAGACAACATGAGGGAGCATCATAAAACCCACTTGCTCTTGCTGGAACTGTCACTGGCAGAGGGGCAGGATGGGAGAATGTCATGACGCGTGTAAGAGACGGTTATGAGGGCTTTGAGGCAGTCATTGTCATCCAGCAGGTCACTTTTGCAGGTGGTTTGTGCTAAGGGGTAAACAGAGTATGGTTGATTGTTATGTGCTGGTACCAGTCTAGCTTCTGGCAGGCTACTCCGGAGTGCATTAGATTAGAGGGCGTGGATGGGATCTTGGATATGGAAACCAACAATTAGGAGTAAAGTAATGATAATCAATCGCAGGACCATTTTAGCCAGCCGTGGAATCTACCAACCTTGGTTTCGGCATTTCCATTCCCCAAATTCCAAACGACACAATGGCAGCCTCCATCGCTACTGGTAGCTGCATGACGAGTCCGAAACCGGGCAGGAATCAGGCATCTCTAAAGTTGCGAATTGTGATTTATGGTTGCATATGGTAAGGCTTTCTTTTCCCATGGCAAGGCATCCTGGCGCTTCAAGTCTTGCGGTGACCCCTGGCACCCTGCGTTCCCGGTCGCCACACCCCCAGAATTTTCACTAGTTCGTGTCTCTTGATCGAGGGTGCGGTACCCTAGAGATGGTTCGCAGATGCCATGCGGACCTCGATGCGAACCACGTTGCGAACCAGCCGGCTGGAGAGGGGGGGCACAATATGGGTGGACTACGTGTACGGTCTACCCCAGACTCAGAGGCTGCATGACGCGCGTTCAATATTCCAAGAGATTCTAGCTAAGCTAGCCAGAGCCCACACGCCAAGATGCTGAGTCCAGAAGGGAAGAGAATAAGACAGTGGGTGTTCTGTCCGGCCGATTCCTGGCCTCCTACGTATAGAGCGCTTGACGTTGAAGGTCGACGTCGACGGGTAAAACCGTAAAACCCGTCCTGCTCACTTCCAACGGTTTCAAGCACGGGCACTGTGATTGGACAATGACATGGTCATCTTCCTCTTTTGGGCAAGTGGACAATGGCGCTAATCGACAATGCCAAGCCGCTAAACACCTAAAAATAGGGCGCTTCAGGAAGATCTTCCAAGGGTTGACTGGTGACGGCAGCTTGTTCGTTAGACGCTCAAGTGGAGGACGGATCTTGCACAAAGGTCGCTTGTTTCGTCGATTGCAGGCGATCTGGTGCCGCGACCTACCCGCTGCTGGCGCTTCCTCAAACCACGCAGAAAAATAATGGAGCACTCACAGCAAATCGTTACACTTGTGAATAACGTGAAATGCGACTGCGTTGCGACAAATGCCATCAGGCAGAGCAATCACGGATGAGTCGACTGTGGTTCCGGAACATGATAGAAATGTATATAAATCGCATTTTCTCCGAGATGACTGGGCGAGTTGTCCCACTCTCGGCGTGTCATTCTGCATTGTTTCGGTTTCTTTTTGTCCATCTTGAGGATCATTTTCTCTGATTCTCTTTCTTCCCTTTGTTCACTCCCGGCATTGGGTTGGCGTCTGCGGATCTATTGTGTCTTTGTTGCTGGCCAACGGTTTAAGTCTCAACTGTCTCATCAGTACCGGTCCTGGGTGTCTCGACATTACAGCTCCCAAATCTGCTCCTCACTCCTTTACTGGCCACTTGATTCCTCAATCGACTTCCATACTTCCATTTCCAAGTAATTCGAAGTTTCAACCAGCGACATCAAATCCATCAAGATGGTTCTCGCAAAGCTGGCAAAGATGTACTTTGCGCGTAAGCTCAAGTCTCAGATTGATGCTCTTGGGCGGTCTGCTAACATGTCGCCAGCTTCATCGGCGGCCATCCGCTATGCTCCCTACCTGCTGATCCTCCCGATTATCGTGTTCGAGGCACTCTCTCTTACTGGATGTGTCTCAACATCGCCTGCGATCCCCAACATCTACCTCGTCTCGTTGAAGTCCAACACCGGCAATGCCACCGAGACCCCGGTCCAGGTGCGCATCGGCTACTATGGAATCTGCGGCATCGATGAGGATGGCACGCGCTGCCAGTCAGCCTCGGGTCGCTCCGTCGAGGAGTTGACGCCCAACCTGTTCCCTGAGACGGTCAATAAGAACTCGTCGTCCAACGCGACCTCGAGTGATGTCGACGTGGCCGACCTGATCAACACTGCGCTCAACCTCCAGTCACAGAGTTTCATGTCCGTTCTCGCCATGTCGGGCCTGCTCTTCCTCATCGGCGTCGGCTCTCTGTTGGTCTACAAGTTTGACGTCAAAAAGGGCAGCTTCGACCACCCCCGCCGCAGCGCCATCATCCGCCGCGTCACGTACGGCTCTCTGTTCTTGTCGACCGGCCTCGTGTTTGCCGCCGCGCTGGCAACGGACCAGTCTGCCGACGCGCTCGAGTTTGCCTCGGCGGGCATGAAGAATGCGTCGGTTCTGATCAAGTCCGGTACCACGCTCCAGGTTCTGCAGTGGATGGCCTTTGGCTTTTCGCTGCTGTTTACCTTGCTGGTTCCCATCTTGGTAAGAGAGAAGGCTCCCGCCATGACCTTTAAGGAGGGTGCATGAGCGAGGGCTCCTACGATTCGAATTCAGGGCGGTGGCTATGTCTGGGAAATAGTGGGCTTGTACGATACCCAAAGGGCGGCAATACTGGCTGGTCTTGGTACGGCTGCTTTCACTAGATCATAATGATAAGAGTATAGGTGCAAGCACCTACTAATCAGTACATACCTGTCCACCGGAGACAAGAGTTGTCTTCATCTCATTTGATTGCAGCCTCGGATCACTTATGACTCAGTTTATGTGTTCTTTCTTTGATAAATTGCCTTAGAGTGATGTCCAAGTAGGTAAGTACCCCTTTGTCTTGCCCTTGACGTTGGTCATCTGAAAACCTACCATGGCCCATACCTACCCGCTACCGTACATACCTACCTACATAGCTAGGTACTGTATTGTAGTAACTGTCCAGTAACTGTCCATAGGTGCAAACTTAACGTCGACTCAACGACGGGCCCGGGGTGTAGTGACCTACTAGTGGTATCCAGGCCCCTGACCCTAACCCTAATCTGTCGATTGCAGGGATGGATCATGGGTTATCTAAACAAGCCAACTATGGCGAAATACTCAAGGATTGCTTCCAAAGCCCATTGAAGAGCTATTTTCTGTTCTTCTTTGGCCAACATAAGTGGTCAGCTTGGATTCCATGGCGGTGCCAGAGTGTCGGTGTGTCGATGTGTAACAGTGTTTAGTGGCACCTTTATAGCACGCCCACTACTAGTGACTCAGTGAGTAAATTTTCCGGTTGCCACCTTCCACCCCGCACTGAACTTCAACTTCAATCATCCCTTCAACTTCATTACACCCAACAATCGGCAACCATGGCAGACTACGTTTTCTTGCGAAATATCCGCCTCAGTGCCAAGATAGGGCTTGATTGCTGGCACAGGGACAAGGCGCAGCCGGCGCTGATTTCCCTGTCTCTACCCACCGACGTTGATCTGGCCGGGCAAACGGATGACGTGGCCATGACTGTCAACTATGGCACTGTCTACAAGGCCATTGATGGCAGCGATCTGGGAACAACGTCGTATGCCACGCTAGACGCTTTCGCCGAAGCAACAGCCCGTATTGCCTTGGAGACCGGCGGCGGCAAGACGGTCAGGGCTACCGTGAGACTTCCCAAGGCCATTATGCAGGCTGCAGAAGGAGAACAGGGCGGTGTCTCCATGGACCTTGAGATGACGACTGGTGAAGAAGGAGTCAAGTCAGTGCAATCAAAGGTGCTTCACGTGCATAATCTCCGTGTCGCCTGCATTTTGGGTGTCAACGAGCACGAGCGGAAGGAAAAGCAGGTGGTCGTCTTGAACCTGGATCTTTACGGCTGGGTTCTGCCTGAGAAGACGGATTACCAAAAGGACTTTACGCCCGTTATTCAGGTTCGTTAACCCTTCCCGGCGTTTCACCTGCATCTCGCATTCTCATGTTTGGCCTCCTTCAGCTTGTCGAGGAGTCGAGCTACCTCACACTTGAGGCTCTTGCCTCGGCCGTGGCAAAGTGTCTCATCCTGCACCTTCATTTCAGTACCGTCCGAGTGAGCATCGAGAAACCCAACGCGTACGGAGGGGCGGACTGCCCTGGCGTAGTCATAACAAGATCCCATACATGATACGGACATCAAGGATCATTACGGACATCCACTTTGAGGCTCAGATGATGTACTGCAGTGACTGAGGACGAGCAGGCTCACTGGTGGTGAGGAATGCGGAAAACCCACAAGGGGGATTCAACTCTTCAGCGGCCCTGAGCCACGTCATATCACGTTGTCTCTAATGGCCTCCGCGAGAGACGGGAGTCTGGGTGGTTTTCAGAGTTGGACTCCGAATCAATTTCGATAACGGCGCACCCTGTTTCCCTCACGATCTTAGTTGTTTTCGATCATTCTTGAACTCACATTTAGGGGTAGTACTCTATACAGTACTACCCAAGGTACTTGACAAACTCCAGCTGCTATCTGCTGTGGGTGCTCAAATTGCACAGGAACCAAAATCGCGCAAGATCCTTCCTGCAACACATGGCACATCATACCTGGAATCCCACCTCAAACACGTTTGCCACTTCCCGGCGCACCACCGACCCAAACATACTGGTTGATCACATTTCTCCCGCCAGCAGCCGCCCCATACCCAAACCGAGGCTCATACCCTGGCACCCCTTTCGCCGCGCGCGCAATACGCTTATAAGTCAGCCTGAACGCGTCGTCGTTCTCGTCCTCAAAGCGGACCAACTGCAGATGGTCGGCTTCGAGCGGAACCTGATCCTCATGGGCGATGTTCATGACGGAGCTCAGCTTGTCGACGATGGGCTCCTTGGTGCCCGGCCAGGCGCGCGTCTCATAGAAGCTGATGACGGCGAAGCGCTGCGCCAGCTGCCGAAAATCTTCGCATATGTCGGCAATGTCGCGCGAGCTGCGCGCTAGCGACTCGACGAGCGGCGACACGTTGTTGCTATTGCTTTTGCTCAGTCCCGGCAAGCAGGGTACGAGACGGCCAAAGGACTTGGAGATGGCCAGCCATCGGTCCTGGTCTGCGCCGTGATGCGGGGCGCCGTAGAATAGCTGTTGCGGTTGGGCGAGGAAGAGATGAGAGCGGTTAGTTCAGCAATGGGCAATATCTTTCAAGCTGTCTCTTACAAGTCCACGAGTAGCGGCCGCGAGCTGGTGGTATTCTGCTTCGTTTGCTGCAAACCGCAGCGCCTTTTCCATCAAGAGGAGAGGAGAGAGCAACACGTCAGGTCCGGTTGATACATAAGGTACCAGTATTCCAGCTTCCCACCGGTCAGTTGGACATCAAGCCTCTTACCTGTTTTACGATGATAGCACCCAGACTGTGCGCGACGAACACAAGCGGCCGCACCTCGGCCTCATCATCTTCGCGCTCGTCCTTGAGCCGGGCCAGCAGTGCCCTCGCATTTCCACGGATGCCCGCAATGGAGGTGTTTCCCAAGATATCGGCATTGTAGCCAAAAGACAGGACGCGAGTCCGTGGCTGCTTCTTAGGCAGCAAGTCCCTAGGCCAGAACACCTTCGTTTTCGGGTGTGTCCAGGTGTTGATGCGATCACCGTCGAGACCGTGAATGAGAACAAGGCTTGGAGGGGTAAGCTGTCCGAGCTGGTACACTACCGTGAGATGGCATGGTTAACTGACGCAACTCACTCTAGCGTTGCTGGTCCCTTGCCAGCCTCTTCGGGATCGTAAATGGTCTCGATGACCAGGCTTCTCCTTTCCGACGGCATATTGGCAGGGATTGGACGGGATACTGATACACTTTAGTTGCGAATTCTGGACTCGGAGTCTTCAAGACCAGGATCAGAACCCCAGCGATCCTGTGATAATGACGGTGATGGTTGAGAAGCCTGACGGTCCGGGTTCGTAGTATATTACTGTGCACCCCTCGAACCGGAGAAAACCTGTAAGAGAGCTGCTCTGAGTTCAGATTATTGCTCGAAACTTCCAGCTGACACTGAGAAAGAGCACACCTACGGAACAAGTGCGTTTCAACCCGGCCTTGCATGCCCAACAGGTGTGTAGTGTGTAGCGGACTGTTCCTTGAGGCTTGCCTTATCAATACAAGTCCCTTACCAAAGGTACCTAGGCACCTAACGTGCATACCTGCAACACTTGGGCGAATGTCTACCTAGGCATGTTCGGGCCGGCGGGCATCAGCCGCTACCGCATCTCAAGGTCGATCGCCTTGAAAACAAAATTGGGCTGCGGCTTGGGACCTATTGGAGGGACGCGAGCATTGGTACCCGACTGCAACTCCTCGACGCCAATCCTTTCCTACATGTACCGACCGCCCTAAACTGATCATACTATCAGCATACCATAATACAATAATGAGGTTCAAGTACGCAGGTCCCATCTGGGGACCTACAGTAAGTATGGCAATTCAGTTTGTTGCTACAGAATCTGATTCCTAGCTCCATCTCTTTTCCACCCAATGTCCTGCTCTCCCCTTCTCTTAAGCTTCAAGAGCCGCATCGGGCTCCAGCTTAATGACAATGTCTCCAGCATCCCACCGGCAGTACACCAAGCAGAACCTTGGGCTCTTTGTCCTCCCGATGCCCGATGCCAGCTGGTATGAGCGCCACGGGACACCGCTATTAGAGTGAGTCAAGAGTGAATCCTCTTTTCCTGGCTTCCCGTCATGCGGCTAATGAGCGATCTGGGCTTGATGTTGTCTGGCGGTTAGTGTGGTCGCTGTGCATGGTCTGAATGGGGATTACCTCCAGACTTGGACGAGTGTATCCCCGACCACGGGCAGGCCAACCACGTGGCTCCATGAGCTCCTGCCATGGAAACTCCCCAGAATCCGGGTCATGTCCTTCGGGTACAGTGCGGATATCCTCGCCAACACGTCTGTTGCCGGAGTCAGGGAGAATGCCCGAATGCTGCTCTCTCTGTTGCGAGATAAGCGCGAGGATGAGGGCGATAGCGAGCGCCGTGACATTATCTTTGTTGCGCATAGCTTGGGCGGGATTATCATCAAACAGGTTCGAAGACCCTAGTTAGATATCAGTACCGATGGTTCCTGATGATATTGGCTTCGCCCTGCTAACGTCGCTGGAATCCAACAAGGCTCTTCGCATTGCCAACAACGAGAGAAACATGTATGGTGGGATTGCTGACTGTACCAAGGGCATTGTTTTCTTTGGGACTCCCCATCGGGGCGCAAATGCTGCCAAATGGGCGAGTCTCATTGTTGGCATCAAGTCGGCGGCCTTTGGTACCCGGCCAAAGATATCCTTCCTCAACTTGCTGAGGCCAAACTCGAAAGATCTCATGGATCTCTCCGAAGACTTCCGGTCCATTGCCACCAAATATGCCATTGTCAGTTTCATAGAGGAGGACAGGATCAATGGGCTAGGAAGTGTGGTGAGTCTTACAGCCCGGTGTGACTGAATGTAACCGCTGTTTTATCTATGGCAACGTGACAAGTTAACGCTCTTGCACAAGATTGTAGAAAGATACTCTGCTATCATGGAGCTGGCACATGAAGAAGCTTGTATGATAGGCGGCAACCACTCATCCATGTGCAAGTTTGACAGGGAGGACAGGCGGTTTGATGCCGTCTGGAGATGCATAAGACGCATCTCCCCGATGTGTCAAGGCTCCCCAACTCCAGAGGCGACATGATCATATTAGGGAGAACTCCGGATCTCTGTTAAAGACCTGTTCCCGAGCTACTCAGCTTACCCGATCAGCATCTCTCATGATTTCAGCAACGCCAGGGGGCCCTTCCCTGGGAAAGGATGAACCGTGATATGCCCATCTGCTCTTTCGAGCTTTCTGCGGTTGACGATAGTCGACCGAATTTGATCATGGCATATAACATTGAAGTCACTTCGAAATACGGTAGAGGTACAGTGTCGAGTCAAACATGATGGTTCTGATTGCAACAGTATTAAGCTTCAGGTATCTCACAACACATCTTGAAGACTCAGATTGAGAACTGCAAGGCATGAAGAAATGTTCTCCCATTGATCAGAATCATCAGACTTTGAGTGACAGCAACAGCATGAAGTGAAGAAACCAGGCTCGCTCCACCATTCAAAAGCAAACAATTGAATCACCGAACAAGGGACTTTCCACCTGCATTTCAAACACCGGGCACTTTCCAGTCGCAGTAACATTGTTTCCTAACTCAGTCTTCAAGCAGACTCAACAAATTGGCGATGATGGCCTCGTGGCGCTTCCGCATCTCGACGACCAGCTTCCCGGGCTCGCCTAGCGCCGCGACCAGATCGTCATACCGCTGTTTCCAACCATGGATATTATTGACGTCCTGGTCTCTAGTGTGGAGGGCCTCATTCAGATCCGCTGACAAGCTGTGGATCTGCTTTAGAAGCGACTCCTTTTCACTCTTCAGCTTGTCATTCTCCCCAGTGAGAGCCTTGTTGTCAGCGCCCAATCCCTGCTTTTCATTCTTGAGATTTGCAATCTCGGCAAGAAGCTGCTGCTTCTCATTGCTCAGAGTCGTGATCGATTCCGTTAGCTTCTGGTTGTCTGCCTTCGTATTGGCAATCTGGTTCTGCAAGCCCTGGTTGTCACCGCCCAGCTTCTGAAGATCCGTTTTGAGCTTCTGAACCTCGGCCGCCAGCGCTTGCTTGTCCTTTTCGAGCGAAGCATTGCGTTCAGCCTCGGCCTGCTTGCGCTTCTCCTTCATTAACCGTGCCTGCTGAAAGATATCAAGGTTTGGGTCGATCCGCTTGTCTAACATGGTAAGCTCGTTCATCAGGGGCTGCAAGCGCTTTTCTTTGTCGTCCTGGGGCGGCAACTCGGGAAGGGAGCCCTTAGTGAGCTGAAGGGCTCCAAGAGCCGCGGAGCCGTTTCCCAAGCCGTTCTGCTTCTTGCCGTTGAGTCCATTACTCTGACCGTTGCTGGTAATCAAGGCATTGCGTGATTCCGAGTCCTTGACCTCTCCCTGTTGAGGGTTGGACAAGGGGCTGGGCTTGGGTGGGGTATGCTCCCATCCGGGCGACTGGGGTAGTTGGGAAGGCCCTTTCTGTGGCTTGGAGGATGCGGACCTGTTTCCATTGGGATTGGTGCGGCCAGATGGGCCTGATGTGTTGTGGTTGTCAAGACCGGGCATTGTTGCGTCTCAAAGGAACAGTCTTTGACTCTTCGCGTGCAGTGAGACAGCGCAGATGTGCTTCCGGCTGCAGGATATATGCTACCTTAGGTTAGTGGGATCGGCGTGGATGATTCTGATCGGGGTCCAAGAAATCACGTACAGCTAAGTAGTAATATGTGATTCGTCGGTTGTGAGAAACCCTTTGGTGGTTTAGGATGACTGGTTCAAAATGATGCTGAGTGTATGGGCAGTGAAGACCAGGGAGCTGTTGGCGTCGACTGAAAGCAGGCAAGGTCTCTGCCAAAGGACGCATGTGCCCAGACTTTCAGCATGATATATATGCTCGTCCTCATTGAGGCCTCTGATACCTAGGCAAAGAGTTGAGGCTCAGTTCAAGTCAGGGTTCAAGGAGCATCGAAATCCCGTCGTTCGAGTGTACCCAACTCACTGTATTGAGTCATCTGGACCATCGAAGTACTCACTGACCGTTCGCCTTGGGTTTGAATACACACCCCGACCTGTTTTCCGGTAGCCCAGTTCGAGAATGGAAAGCTCGAATTGGGCACCTGCATAACAGCCATACATGCAGCGCATGAGCCACAAAAAAAACCTGAACGTGTGAATGCCCAAAGGCTCAAGTCACGGGTGCGTGCATGTGCCGCTCAAAGCACGGCTATCGCGCTCCGCAGAAATAGCAGTCTGATAACCTAAACCGTTTCTGCTTTCCTTTTTTCCTGAATTCTGTGTCGACATCTTTTTTCTCTCAAGGGAACAAAGGTTGGGCACCATGAGGCTAAGAGCAAGCCCAACCTAGGACTCGAGGAGTTTGCCGTCCCAAGCTCTCCTCAGCCTCCTGACGAACGGCGAACCGTTCGTCTGATGCCACATGGCAACTGAAGTATCTCGTGTCTGAGTGTCTATCTACATAGCGCGGTTTTTTTGAAGAGGCACAGGATCTTATTTCACCAAAGTCCAAGGTGATGGCCATGAAGTTGGGCGCCTTTCGGGTTATACAGCCAAAGGTGGGAATTATAGTCCGATCCGCCCTAAGTCACGAAGCAATTATCCAAGCCTCCCCTTTCTGATTCAGCGCCTCAAATGCTTGGGCTGTGCCTTCTGAGATGATGCCGCCGATGAGCGAGCGGCCTGAGGATTGTCGGGATCCAAATCATCATCATCCTCATCCTCATCTCCATCGTCGTACACAACGAAGTAACCCTTCTGCAAGCGATCGTTGAGTCTCTCCACGTGGTCTTGCAGATCCCTGACTTTGTAGTCTAAGTTCCACGCCTTGTTCTTTTGCTCAAGCGTGTCAGCGGCTGCCTTGTCGAGATCCCGCTTCATCTGCTCGAGCTTTTGCTCCATTTGTTGCTCTTTGAGCTCTGCTTCATTGAACCGCCGCTTCCAATATGCCGCATCATCTTTTGCCTTTCTCAGATCTTGCTCCAGGCGCTGAGAAAGAGCTTTCTTTTCATCATGCCTCTCTTTCCAAACGTTCTTGGTGACTTTCTGGGCCCTCTTCATCACCTCGCTGTCATCATTGCCCGTGTCTCCGAGCCAATCCCCCCCGATCTGGGGGATGGGTGGGCGGCGCTGGTCATCGGTCAGTGCGGGTGCGCTCTCGCTCTCATCATTAGGGTTACCGGCCGGGAGCATTGGTTGTTGGGACATAGTAGCAGCAACGACAGCTTTCAAGACCGGAGGAGCTGGGCTGAAATTCTCTGTGATTGTCGTGCGAGCGGGAAGAAGACAAGGCGCGTAAACGAAAAAAACCTAAGCTCAAAGGAGAGAACGTTCCAGATTTTATAGATATACGATAGAATCCAATTCGAGGATTATGACTACAGGCTGACTGGCCTACCATGCTACTTCCGTGAACTCTGGAGGGCTGAAGAGCCAACCTGAGGCAGGTTTCGGGGCAGTATCCCGGTGTAGGAGTCGCAACGGCCCGACAAACTGGACCCGCATGGCCTGCATTTTGGGTCGGCATTGGGCATCAGATCAGCGCGGTTGGCGTGCATTGCCTGCGTGCCGGGCCTCCATTTCAGGAAGCCCGGGCACTTGCCTCAGTCGAGACTCGAGCTAGGTACTTCTTGGCTGGCAAGCCATCGACACTGACAGCCTGGAGTGAGGTGGCGCTGTTCGCTCCTGCCTCAGCTGCCTGAACGTTTTGCTGAGGTATACTGTGGCGCAAGCCACCTCCAATCAGTTGATGGTGTTCTCTGTTTTGCTGGCGGTAAGAGGCAGGTCGGACTAAGATACATAACATTTAGTGGTGGTGAACGGAATGCCGTGCTGTATGTTCATACATACAATCAAACCTAGCATTGGATGACCATGCATATATGGCCCACACCTTAGCAGCCTCAGGTAGGTATATTCGCCCGGATACGATATGCATAATTCGCCAGTCGTCAATCTTCATCCCCCCAAGACCTAAATACTCTGCAGCTATCAGCGAAATCACCTCTTGATACCAGTGCCTCGAGACGAGATTCTGTTCTCATAGGCTCAGAAGCAGTAGAAGCAGGATCAATTACAATCGATCTAGATGCCGAAATTCCATCGACTCTACCCTGTGGGCGACGCGCCAGACAGCTCAAGCATTGAGTACATCTCCCCCAGCCGTACTTATCCACAGACCCAGACGGACAAAGTCATGCCTCCTAAGCTAAGCAACGTCAAATGCTGACTCCTTATTATAGCGTTATCCTTGTCCATGGCCTTGGGGGCGACTACCAGATGACATGGCAGGCAGAGGACGGCACACTCTGGCCCAGCCATCAGGATTTCGTGCCTCAATACATACCCGAGGCTCGTGTCCTTTCCTGGTCCTACAATTCAACCATCAACGGCTTTTTTAGGGTGGTGCGAAATAACGCGAAGAAGCTCCTCAGCGGGCTTCTTGACCTGCGCGAGGAGCAGAACCTCTCGGCTCGGCCTCTGATATTCATTGGCCACAGCCTGGGTGGTGTGATTATCAAACAGGTAAGAAGGCATCCCTGCGAGCTTCAACTGAGTTCTACGGTGGCTGATGGTGGGACTCAATACTTACTCGGTTTAGGCAATCCGCTTCGCTTTCAACGACCCAGCTTTTGAATCGATTGCCAGGTCAATTCTTGGCGTTGTAAGATGTTCATTGTTCTTGTACACGCTTCCATAGGCTTGAACCATTCCCGCTGACGCTCTTTTCTCCAGATGTTTTTCTCGACTCCTCATTATGGAGAGCAGCACCACTGGCTGGACTTTGTGTCTGACGTTCTTAGCTGCACCGGCCCTCCTGGCAATCAAGGCCCCACGCCCGAAATGCTAGAGGATATTGGAAGGAACTACGAAGTCCTGTCAAACGTGACCGAGGAGTTCAAGCCACTTCTCAGGAGTGACCTGGGTATTGTCAGTTTTGTCGAAGATGACGCGAGTGAGATACGCGGGAGTTTGGTGCGTTTGATGCCCGAGCCCCTGAAACGCTCCAGTCGCTGTACTCGCTGGGACACAACTTGAAGTGACTGACTGACCGGATACATGAAAAGAGAACCATCGTTGACCGTAACACCGGTTATCTCCAAGACCACGAGGAGCGGAACTACAGTCTAAGCGGGAATCACATTTCGATCTGTAAATTTCCGGCGGATGAGGAGGGGAAGTCGGGTTTCCGGACGGTTGGCATCAATCTCAGATGGCTTGCAACAGGATCGAGCAGGGCGAGACGTATGCAATGATTCACAGTTTCCCCGGAGATTCTCGTATGGTCTTAGTGTGATACTAATTTGTTTCTTGCCAATTCAAGGCCTTACCGACATACATTGCAAAGTGTTGAGCTTGCTCGATCCAAACAAGCTCCGTGAGCATTATCGCAAGTTCAAACCGTCCGCCAACACATGCCAGTGGATTGATGAGCGGGAAGAATACAAGCGATGGCTCGACTGGGACGGCCATCCCGACTATACTAAACTCTGGGTCACTGGTGACAAGGCATGCGGCAAGACTTTCCTGGCGAGGCATATCCTTGGCCAGGTGCGCCGCGATAAAACCACGCTGGTGCTCCAATGCTTCGTGGATGGAACTAGTACCCCTACACGGGTCGACTGTGACGCCGTCCTCTCCTCTACCGCCCGCCAGCTCGCCCAGGCACACCCAGACTTGATCGACACTTTCCTATTGCGGAGGTATAAAACCGACAGAAAGACGCTGGGGTCCCTTCAAGACGTCTGGCCGGAGATGGTCCAGTACGGGGTGAATGTTAAGGGGCTGCGAACAATCGTGCTCGTCGATGGCTTCGACAATCTTGAAGACAAGGAACAGGAATTGTTTCTGCAATGTTTCAGCAAGATTGAACCGAAGGACAAACGGAATCTGCGCCTCTTGATCGTGTCAAACCCGGGCACCATTGACCTTGAAGACGATCCCTGGAAGTTCCGGAGGTATAGCATCACACAGAGGGACGTCTCCCAAGACATATATAGCACAGTGTATCAGTTGCTGGACATACCCGTCCTCGATGACCAATCGCGGAAAACTGCCAGCAAAAGGATCCAAGAGCGCGCTGAGGGCGTGTACCTCTGGGCGGCGGTGGTGACCCACGACCTGAAGCTCTCCTTTTTTACTATTAGGGACGTGGAAGAGCACATCAACGGCCTGCCAGGCAGGATGGCTGAATTATACGATAATATTCTTGGAAGAATCAAGGTCCGGCTGCCGAAAGAGACTGCTCGAGTCCGCCATATTCTGCTGTGGATTGCCTTCCGGCACGAGAAGCTCAGTACCGATGAACTCGGTATCGGCTTAGCGCTGGCCAAGTACCGGGAGGATTACCCAAATACGCCAGTGCATGAGTCAACTTTTGGCAGCTTATACATCATCCAGCCTCGCATGGTCCGGCCTACTGTGATCGGTCTTTGCGGCCAGCTTGTCCGCTTCTGTCGCGACGAGGTCGAACTGGTTCACAGCAGCCTCGCACTGTACCTCACCTACACAGCGTCTCGTATCAAAGGCTTGGATGAACGGGTAGAAATTCCCAACCACGGCCAATTTCACCTGCCGCCTCAAGAGTCGCACTTGCTCCTAGGCAACCTCTGCATGTCCTACCTTGCTATGGCGCCATTTTCCGACTCTGGTGCTTCATTTGACCCGAACTGCAGGGAACAGTGGGAGAGTAAGGTGCGCGAGCGTGTACGGAACTTCAAGCTTGTGCGGTATGCTGCGCTGTCGTGGACGAAGCACTTGAGGGATGCTGGACGCGAACTACTCGGAGCCGGCCCGCCAACCAATACAGAGGCGGACATACACGCACAAAGGCTGATTGAGACGGTTGACTCACATCATGCGGTCTGCTGGACTGAAGTGTGGTGGCTCGTTCGGTGCTGGCCGGCATTCAACTATCCCGAAGGGTCCAGGACTCCCGGCATGGAGCACATCCTCGTTCATCCCCCAAGACCGACGCATCTCTTTCCCCATTTGAATGACCAGCACACTCAGAGCATGGAGCCACCAGCAATAGACCCTATTGTCTCGGCCGAGGACGCACCAATAGAAGCGGATGAATACGACGTACCGCAGCCAATTGGCGGGACTGTCACTGGCCTAGTCAGTAACGGGGCTGGACACATTTGGGCAGCAAGTGGTGGGACACTCCATCAGCAGCTTCCAGTTGTTTTCAACCACCACCACCACATCACAGCGAACCTTTACTTCACCGAACCTGAAAGAACCATGCCAAATATTTCACGTTCAGGGAAAAAATCGCGTCATCGACGCCGTTGTTCTATCTTGTGAAGTTGTGAGGGAGCCAACTAGAAAGTCAGAGGGATGTTTTCGGCTTCAACAACGAATCCACTCCAATTTTCCCCAAATGTATGTATCACTACACAAATTCTTCCGTCTCAGTAGATGTGTCTAGGTGCCTATTATTGAGCGCAATTCTATGATGCTCCATATTGTTGAAAGGTATCTCCACTAGTAGTAGGCCTTTGAAATCGTTATCAGTCTTTGCACACAAGATATGCCTGGCACATTAGACTACTCAAAAATCTCTGTGGGAGGAAGGCTATGGCTATGGTGAGTCTGCAGCCTCCCTTACCCGGTGAGACGTCGGCTAGTCGCCCCCTTTTGTGACCAACAACTTAAACAAAGCGGGTAGGTCCCCGGGCCACTCAAAGAGGCACAGGGGGCACAGTCGAGCAAGCATCATCCAACCTATTTATTAAAGCTTCCACACTACCAACCTGGCCTTTTTATGAGCGAGAATTGAGAATACACACAAAATCAAAACTGTCCCGCCCAACGCCGTGTCAGTCCGCAGCAAGTTGTACCGTTGTACGGCCAAGATCGCGCAAGAAGAATCCACGCTGCAAAATCTGCGATTACATTTACCCAGCTAAGCCCATCGCAAACTTCTTACGAGGGAATCATCAAACGCAAGCGTGACTGAAGAAGTCTGTTAGACCTTGAAGGCTTGGACAGTCGAAGACAGAGTTCAAACACCGTCTCCATTCTCCACTGCCGGCATAGGAGAGCGCGGCAGCAAGCATGAGCCAACCGGGCGAGCCATACGCAACCGCCACGTTATCGTCAATACCTGTCTATGTCTACGCTGTCTCGGGACTTTTGGTTGGGGTTCTCTTGGGGACCCAGGCGCTGGGGGTGTGGCTGACGGGGTTCCGGAGACCTGTGGTGGTGCGTGGGTCGAAGCTGGAGGAATATTGAATGGGAAAATAAGGTACGGGATCAGTTCATCCGCAAGGGAGATTTGGGACAAGACAAGACGGTGGATTATGTATTCTGTTTGGGGGTTGATAAGTACTGATATGTCAGTGTGGTTCAGAATTGAGGGTTGGAAAGGTATTGGAGTGTTATATTGCGACAGCATTTTGAGCATAAGTAGTGAGAGGGACTGATTTGACTTGGGTATTGTATCAAGAATAAGCTAAACTTTGAGACTGGCCTGGCTTATAGTTTATGTTCGCTCTTCCATATGGATACATGTACCCAGTGAGATTTTGGGATTCTCCACTAGATGCGGATATTTCGCATCGTAAATACCATCATTTAAGCACAGGGTGCCAACGATACGGACTATAAGATACAGGCAAAAACAATATCTCGCGCTCCGGTCAGTCACCGCTCGCCTCCTCCCGTTACACCTCCGTATGTTGTTGAAGGCGACGTGTCCGACTGAGGAGTCACGGCTGAGTATGACGACAAATCGCTGTCGGTCCGCTTGGAGGTCAAACTCGGCGAGCCGACGGCAGTAGACCCCATAGTAAGCTCAGAATCGCCGTGTGACAGCAGCGGTGAGGTCTCCGTGACGAGCCGGCCCCTCCTGTCTGTCTGGGACTCCAAGTCTAGTTCCGCCACACCTTGCTCCTCCAGGTTGCGGCCGTTTAAGGACCGCATATCGCCCCAGAAAACAAACAGTAGGATAGCGACGCAAAGCAGGAGAATAAATAGGCACGCCCATCCCTGGAACGCCAGTTCTCTGAGCTCCTCCCTGGGTGGAGATGGATGCATAATGAATCGGTCAACCCTCCTGAGTTTGAAACAGAATTTGATCCCGAGTCTCTTGCAAGTTGCGATGCCTGTGAGGTGTTAGTCAACACTCGACAGACAGGTAGGGAGGGACAGAGCCCCTCAATAAAAGTGCGCTTGCTGACCTGAGATGCTGTAACTGCTTTACAACGTAGCGGCGGCTCGAATTCAGATAAATACTGCCAGTGAAACCATTGCCAAACAAGCTAGCAGGAGCATAGACTTTGTCTAGGTAAGGTAGTGTCGAACAACCCGAGAAAGCGAGAAGACCAAACGATAAAACGAAAAAAATAACCTCAAAGCTGTGTCTCAGACAACAGCACACAGCAACAAAAGCCCACGCCAAGGCTGAGGCCGCGATTCTTCCCCTCGCGGTGCACCCTAATAGCAATAAGCCAGAGGCTTTGCGGTGAGCGAGGCTGCCCGCTGCCCACGGTTGGTTCGTTCGCGGGCTCTTTTGGTGGGGTTGCCACAGGCTGGGGCAGGGGCCGCGGGGCAGAGAGGCGTTTGCCCGATCTGATCGTCACAAAGCCTGAGTTCAAACAGAAATGTGAGCAAAAAGCCGAAAAGAGCCTGACCGTTAACTTCTTACTGTAATATGTTGCGGCTCAGCGGCAGCCAGAGGCTACGGAGCCGCCGATCATGACGGGCGGCGGGCGGAGGGAGAAGTTTTTTTGCTGCACCAAGTCCAAGCCTGGCTGAGTCTAGGCTCGGCGCTGCTGTTTGTCTTGGTTGACGTTCACTAGCCACTGCGATGGGGCACAGTCCAGGGCCCCTTCCAACCCCCCGGTTTGGATACTTACACAGGTACCTACCCCCGTACCATCCACTTAGTACTCTACAACCCCCCTCCTCCAAGATTCTCTTCCAAAGCAATCATCACAAAGCTAACATCACGCAACTCAACACTTGTATGTATGTATGTATGTATGCGTTTATGTATCTATGTACAGTACAATACATCTCAGCCGGCCGCCAAATAAACAAGAACTGACTCGGCAATTCAACGCCAACTCGGCTTCCCAACTCCAACCGGCCTCTCCCTCACTGCCCACCACCTAGGACTATCAACAGCAAGCGTGCATGTACACATTGAATGTCCATTGCCATCCGTACAGTACATATCCAACAGCACTCAAGGCAACACCTAGCTTATGCATCGGCCGCCCGAGAAGCACCACAATTACCACCATCCTCATCACGTCTCTCCTCCCTTCCCGGCTCCTCGCCATCACCATCCAAATCAACCAACATCTTCGCCTGATACGCCTTCTTAGCCGCCGCCGCGAGGCTCGCATAGTCGCCGCTCATCTCGCACATGGCCTTGAAGCTGCCAACCGCGCTACTAGGCTTTCTCAGCAGCTCCCACGGGTGGCCGTACTCGACGATGCGGCCTTTATCCAGGACCAGCACCTTGTCATAGTCGACGATTGTCTGCAGGCGGTGGGCAATGGTGATGATGGTGCTTGTCAGCTCGCGGATCGTCTCCTGGATGGCCGAATCGGTGGCGTAGTCGATCGACGCTGTGGCCTCGTCCATGACCAGGACGGTCGGCTTCTTGAGGAGAGCGCGCGCCAGGCACAGCAGCTGACGCTGTCCCTGGGAGAGGTTGTTGCCCGATTCTGTAACCGGGTAGGAGAGGTCCATGAAGATGTTCTTATTGGTAGCGGCCGAGGGCGGCCGCGACTGCTCTGTTGCTGTTGTTCCAGCGACGCTATCGGCGGCTGTCGTCGATTCGGGAACAACCGAGGGGTTGGTGGCGGCCAGGAATTCGTCGGCCTGAAGGAGGTGGACCCGGCGAAGGGCTGTAAAGACTTCCTCGTCGGTGTACAGGTTGAAGGGGTCAAGGTTGCTCCGGATGGTGCCCATGAAGAGTGTGGGATCCTGAGGCACGATTGTGATGGCCTCGCGCAGGTCGCGAAGCCCGATTAGGCCAATATCGACACCGTCAATCAGAATCTTGCCCTCATCGGCTTCCAACGCCCTGAAAATCGCCAGCGTTAGCGAACTCTTGCCGGCCCCAGTCCGTCCCACAATGCCAATCTTTTCGCGAGCCGCAATCTTGAAAGTGAGGTTGCGCAGAACGGGATCCAACTCCTTGCGGTACCGCGTGCTGTAGTTGATAAACTCCACTGCACCCTCCGACGGCCAGTTCTCTGGCGGGCGGTTCTTCTCCACGATTGCCGCCGCCTCCTGCTCGACATCCAAGTACTCCTTGATTCGCTCAACCGAGTTCATGTTCTGCTCGTTCATTGCGTACAAGCGAACCAGCCAGAGGATGTTGTCCGCGAAACCAATCGCATAGCTCAGCGAGACACCGGCAGAGCCCGGGTCGATTTTCCCGAGACTCAGCGTGACGAATACGCCAGCAAAGAATGCAACACAGTCGCCAAGCAGGTCGGTCCTGAAGGCAAGCCACCTGTTGGCAGCCCAGAGATAGATGAATGGCCGCAGCTGCCTGTTGATCCTGGCAAGATTGTCTCGAATGAACCGTCTTTCGTCGCCGTATGCGCGGATGGTTGTAACGCCCGTCAGTGTCTCTCCAAACTGCTGAAAGAGGGGACTCCGCTCGACCGATTCTAGTCGCTTCAGGTCTCGCGATGCATGCAGGTAGAACTGTCCAAGAAGGACATATGCCAGGGTGATGAAGACGCCCGCAACCAAGAACATGGGGGTGATGTAAGCGATGATGACCACGGTCACGACGATTCCCAGAGCACACCCCATGACACCGATGGCGATGGGAGCCACTTCCTGGTCAACAGCCTCCAAGTCCTTGCTGAACCGGTTCATCATCTGCCCAAGAGGTGTAACATCAAAGAACTTGAATCTGGCCCCGCTGACCGAGGCCATCAAGCGGCTATGCAGTTTCCAGGAGGCAGTAAGCGAGCCGAAGAAAAGCCACAGATCCCTGACCAGAGCGGATAGTGCCCCTGCGATGCCGATGAGGGCCAGAACCGTCAAGTAGTACTTGACGTTCACCTCCGCTGCTCCCGCCGTCGAATATGCTGCGTCAGCGCCTTTGACATAGCTCGCGATCGATGCAAAGTAGGTCGGAGACATCGTCTGGCTCGAGGAGCTCAGGGAATTCATGTTGAACGGGATCTTGAGCGTCTCCTCGTCAGTGTATTGGTTGGACCACTCCCTAATCCAAATGTTGGTGGCCACCCCTGAAAACTGCTGCGCGCCAAAGACCAAAGCTGCCACAACCCAGAACCACCATGGTCCCATGGACTGCAGGTAGAGCTTCATGACAGGCCACTTCACTGCGCCAGTTGCCTTTGCCTCTTCCATCGCGTCTTGCTTCCTAACCTCCTTCTTGGCAACCTGGGCTTTCGCCTGTTGCTGGTCGCCGTCCGGTTCATTGACCAAAGTGCCGCCGCTCTCATCCCCAACACTAGAAGGTACGCGAGAGGGCACGCGGGATATGTGCGCCGACGTCGGCATTGACTTTGGAAGCATGATATCCTCACCAAATTTCCCGGCCGCGATGAGCTCTTGCGGTGTACCTTGGGCGGTGACACGGCCGTTGCCCATCATCACAACGTAATCTGACGAGGGCACGCAGAGCGGGATGTTGTGCGACACCAGAATGCAGGTCCGGTGCCGCATCAGCGGGCCCATGATGCAGTTGCTGAATATCCACTGGGCCGTATGAGCGTCGACGGCGCTGAGGCAGTCATCCAGCAGTAAATGCTTGGAGTTGGAGTAAACTGCTCTAGCCAGTGATATGCGTTGTTTCTGGCCACCAGAGAGCGTGATGCCCTTCTCACCCACCAGCGTCTCGTCACCGTTGTCCAGGATCTCCAAGTCACGCTCCAGGGCACATGCAACGATAACGTCGCGGTATCGTTGTTCATCGAAGGGCGCAGAGAAGAGGATGTTCTCCTTGATGCTGGCATTGACTAACCAAGCCTGCTGGGCAACGTATGCACACGTCTCGGCTAGCCCGGTCTCGGGATCAGGGCGCACCTCTTCACGGCTGCGACCACCTGGTAGGTAGACCCGGCCGCTCATGATTGTCATCTCGCCAAGGAGCGCCATCAGAATGGACGTTTTACCGGAACCTGTCGGGCCAGTGATGACATTCAGTTTACCAAGTTTGAAGTCAATGTCGAGATCAAGCAGGCGAAAAGCCATGGAGCCGTCATCCGCAACGGTCGTTTTGCTGCCCCAAATAAACGTAGCGTTCCGGAACCCAATCACCTTATTGCCGTTCTCGTCGATGTTGTCGGTACCCAGTTGTTCGAATTTCTCTGTCTCTTCCTCGGACAAGAACTCCTCGATACGATCTATCGACACCTTGGATTCCTGGACGTGGGCAATCATGTCCCCAAGCTGATCGAGAGGGTAGCGGAGGAGCATGAAGAGCGAGATGGCCGTAAAAGCCACCGAGGGGTACAACGGCTTCTTTTCGACGACCGTGTACATAAGAAACGAGAAAAAGGTGATGAGGATGGGGACAGTGTTCCAAACCGCCACAGCGGCTGCCCAGATCATGAATCTTTTCCGTAGAGCTTTGAGTTCTGCTCGTCTCTTTTCGTCAACGAGATTGGCAAACCGATGCTCCCAGGCAAAGTACTTGATGATCCTGATATTCTGCAGGATCTCGTTTGTCGTATGGATCCGTTTGTCTGTAGCAGCCATAATCTGCTTCTGGCTTGAGTTGAAAGCTTTGCCGAAGATGATGTTGATCGGAAGCAGCAGAGCCATGACGATGAATCCTGGAATGGCGCTTAGACCCATCACCTCATAGAGTAAGATGACGGAAACAAGCAGTTGAGTGGGAGCTGAAGCGACGAGGAAGTGTAGGTACGCTGTCACCTCAGAAACCTTAAAGCTATCAACCGACATCAGGTTGATAATGGTGCCAAGATTGGCTTGCTCGTCAGAGTCGCCCGTCTTTTTGTCATTTGATCCGTCTGCCGTCCCATTCGTGGTCTTCTGGTTGGCATTGGTATCCTTCTCGAGGCGCAAGAACCGCTTAGCCCTTGCAATTATGCCCTTTTTTGGTGTATCATTCTTCTTGCTGCCCAAAACCGTGTCTTTGCCGGCGGCGGCTTTGCGGCGGAGGGCTTTGGCATAGATCTCGCCCACCAAAATGGCCCGTATATTGATGCAGATCTTTCTCCCGATCCACAGAGCTTGACCATCGCAGACAGAGCGGGCGATATCCGTCACTGGAAGGAGAATGACGTAGAGCCATAGTACGTTCCTTGGTGCAGCCGAGGGGTCCTCGACGTATTCCAGGATGGCCTTGAGAAGCAGGGTTGGGGCGAAGGCAAGAATGCCGCTCAAAACAGCCCAAATCGCCTGGGCAACCAGCATGCCCTTGAAGTATCTGACAAGATGGAAAGACAAAGCGGTCGTCTTCTTGAACTGACGATAGCTGGCCAGGACGGCAGCGGCCTTGTCCTTGGGAAGAAGGTTCCAAACTCTCGTGATGTCCAGAGGCTCCTTGAAGCCAGCCCATACAATGGAGTCGACCCATGAGAAGGTGTAGTGCGAGAAAAGCGAAGCCAGGTTCTCGCGCGCGGGCTGAATGCCGTCCTCCCATTCCAGCAGAATGGTTTTGTTGCCCTTGCGGGTGCATATTGCCATTCCAAAAAGCAGCGATGTCAGGGAGAACTCAATAATAACCAGCATCTGTGTCAATTGCGAACTCGGGTGGACCAGAACGGAGCGGAATATGACCAGGGTGAACAGCCACTGGAAGCTGTATATGGTAGCCGTGTGGTTCCATATCCGTGGCACGCGCCATTGCGTGTTCCCCAGGAAAAGGCGGAGCGAGGTGAGGGAGAGAACATAGATCCAGACGGTCAAGCCGGCAATGGCAGCAATGCCTCCCCGTTGCTTCCCATAGGCTCCTGTCGCCAGCGCGACGGCGTTCACGGCGACAAGACCGAGAACGGCAAGTTCCTCCACGATGACGGACAAGGTCTGGCCCGGAGGACTGTCGGCTTGCACGATTGAGCCTTTTGTTGTGGTTTTCACCAGGGCCAGACGGCCACCGTTTACTGTCAGGCCTTCCTCGTCGTCGCTCTCGTCGACGGGTTCTTCCTCGACAGGCAGCGCCGTGTGACTCGGAGGCGCTATCGGAGCTGCAGCATTGCCGATGCGCTCGTACCCTCTACTTCGCTTTAACTTGACGGCGCGCAAGATGTTCTGGATCGCGAGTTGAAGGAAGGACAAGCTGATAATAGCCAATGGCAGCAGGACTTTGAGGTAGCTGTATCATTCACCACGCCCTGTTAGTAGTGATTCGACCATAGAGTACCGAGTCATCGAGGGGTAAGGGACAGGAGTAGGACGCCACAGCACAGCGTATCTGAGCTTGTGCGAAAATCAACCGAGGCGAAACTTTTGCTTACTCTTGCTGGAAACAATGGGTAAAGTCATCAGTTCGCCATATTGGCCGAGGACACGCAGCAAAACCCATCTCCTCTGCGTCGTCGTGGCGCGAGGCCGGGAGCGGCTGCAAGTCTCGCTTGCCTATCTCAGCGGGCAGGTCACGACTTGAGGATGCCGCGCCGATCGCCTCTTATTGTCTTGGAAGACTCGGAGAACACGGTGGATGGACAAAAGTTGAGAATATTAGTTCCTGCCTCGCCCGGGACAGATCGCTTGGGTATTCTGCATGCACTAGCACCGTACACTAGCTTAAGACTCCCATGGTTTCCTCAAGCAATGGCAGCGGGCCGCTTGGGTTCGTTTTGAAAGTCCAGAAGCTCCAGTAGCCGAGATTTTTACCTTCTCATCTGGACTTGGATGGGCGGGTCAGTCCTGGGTACTGCAGCTGCCCTTATCAAGCTTGTGCTGCAACCTTCTTTCGGTAGCGGTCAGTAAGTGGGGTTATGCAGTGGGGTTGGAAGCGGGTACCTCTGAAATTACGGATACTGTATTGATAATACTGTATCTTACGGCTCGCTTATGGATAGTGCCCTGCACTGTGCTTCCTTCGTATGTACTCCGTACTGTACTACTAATGTGTTAAACAGTGCAGGTGCTTCACATTTTCCATCTGGAAAGTGACGGCAAAGGTGTGTTTGGTGTTTGTCCCCTGGTTTACGAAGGTTGTACGAATACGGAGCTACAGTCTCGTCAGATGTGGGGAGCTCCAACTTCAAGTGAAGTGAGTGGCTTCCAGGTATGATGTCAGATGCTAACTTTACACGGCAGACCGAGGAGATTACCAAGCAGGTAACGTACTAGGTGAGGTATTGATTTGTACAATACATTCTGGCAAGACGTTCGAATGGTATTGTACAGTGATTCAACGTTCCAAATGCTTCACCCATTTTAGCTCTCCTTAAGGTAATCACCACAGCTTTCACAGAGCTGGCCTAGGCTGGGACTGGATCATGATGGCAGAGATGCAGGCAGAGTAGGATCTGCTGCTTAGCGTGTCCTAGTGCAATTGAAGGACGACTCGGCGAGCCCCAAACGGCGACAAACATGCAGTGTCGACGGTAAGTGACTCATCGATAATGGCTCTTTACTTGAACATGTCACAGCTCTGGGTAATTGAAGAAGTACATGCATATGAAGATATTACGACACCTACTCGTCCAGACGGTCCCGTGATAGCGGACTCGAATGGACAGTTAGATCTCTCCCTGCCAATCGCATATGGATAGCATTGTTGAACAACGCAGGAAGTGTGAATATCATAAGATAGGATCACCAACAAACGCAGATTATAAGCATCAGTGAGAACTCTGTTTTTGTTGCCTGTCAAGCTGCACTTCGGCGGCGCTGACCACGATCCCGGGATTGCTGGAGAAACGCCCGTATTCGTCGTACTTGTGCTGTACCACCAAGTATCGTCCTGGTCAGTTCCACCGCATTCTTGACGGCCGGCTCACGTTGCATTACCTTCTCGAATGGAGTTCATACACGCGGTTATCTTTTACATGCAGCATTACGGCCATTAATCGCAATCTATCGCTATGGGAATGACCCGAGCGCCTGAGCCCCTTATAAGAACACGATTACTGAAAGACCTGTCAAGTTGAGTGCCCGCCGTGCTGTAAACTCCGCCCCTTTTAGGAAGCCTCCCGTGACCTTTTGTTTTGCTTTCCTACTACTATACAGGGCAGTCATGCTTGACTCCCCACACAAATGCAGACAACAATTTGACAGGAAGAAAAGGCACCAGGAATGGTAGCCCGAAAACTCCGAACTTGGAGCGCTTTGTGATGCGCCTTCACAGGCCGGAAATGGCTTCTGCTGCATTTAGCCCATGATCATGCCTTTCATGCCAGCGAGATCCCCCTCCTTGGCAGCAATCTCAAAGTAGCCATAGATGATTCTGTCTACTGGTCAGTATTGGCACACGCTCATGACGCGAAGGCTTCACTTACGTAACAGCGAGGAGGGTTCCAGTTCCAGAACCGAGCGCGCCCATCAGGTCACTGGCGACAGAGAGTGCACCGATGCAGGCACCGCCAAAGGCAGCAGCTGTGGGGATGATGCGCTTCAGCTCCTTGTACATGCTCTGCTCACGGTGGCCGGCCATGACCAGTCCCTGATCTTTGAGCTGCTTGGCGACGTCGCGAGGGCTAGAGCCCGACACCTCAATCCAGGTTTTGGAGAAAACGGCGCAGGCAGTAAGCATGTAGGCGATGTAGACGGCGGTGTGAATTGGGTCGAGCATGGCGTCCTTGAAGTTGAGAGGAGGCGACATATAGTAGACAAGTCCGGAAACAGCAGACAGTTGGGACGACCCATCCTTAGCCTCCCAAACACCAAAGAGGCGGACCAAGAGGTTCTCGGAGAAGCGGGAGTAGAGCATCTGGCTGATCAGGAAAATGTTGGACGAGAGTGCTGACTGCAGCATGATTGGCATGTTGGACGTGTAGAACAGACGGACGGGGTAGGAGCCGCGAGCACCGCGCTGACGCGACGACTTGACAGGGATCTCGACACGGAAGCCCTGCAGGTAGATAACAGCGGCAAAGACGACGAGCGTAGCCAGCAAGTTCATGATATTGGGTAGGTTCTGGCGATAGAAAGCCTCCTGAAGGGCCCTCTGCTTGTTGGGCCAGGTCATGAGAAGGTGGAACAAGGCGATGACGGCACCCTCGTACTCAGGGCCGCGGCCAGTGTTGATCGAAGTGGGGGAGAAAGCCTTCCACATGATAGACTCGCAGATGTTCGTGGCGATGAAAAGTGAGATACCGCTGCCCAGACCATAGCCCTTCTGGAGGAGCTCATCGAGGAGGATGACGATCATACCGGCGACAACCAGCTGAAGGATGAGCAGGAAGACAATGCCGGCGCCGAGGTCACTAGGAGGGCCGTAGAGACCAGTGAAGACGTAGACTGTGGCAGTGCCAACAGCGAGAATGAACGCAAAAAGCTTCTGGGCCGTCTGGTACAGCTCGCGGTCCGACTTGAGCTCGAGATTAACGTCGATCATGTGGGTACCGGCGAGGAGTTGGAAGACCATGCCCGACGAAATGATGGGAGTGATACCGAGCTCCATCAAAGTTCCCCGGTTACTTGCCATCATCATGCGCAGCCAATATAGCGGATCCGACGAGTCTGACGAGACAATGCCGTAGAGCGGCATCTGGCTCATGACCAAGAAGATGAGGAGCGTCAAGCCCGTCCACATCATCTTCTGGTTGAAGGGGATCTTTGTCTCGGGCTGCTGCACCTCGGGGAGGAATGGCACGAAGGGCTTAACGAGATCGAGAAACCGAACTGCATCGTACGCGAGATAATCAGCGCAATTGTCGCAAAAGGGTTGCAGAGGAAGAAGATGGGATACGGGGAGCTCAGAAGCGCAAGCTCTACGGCGCGCGCGCCAAAGGACTTACGGGAACTCATTGTGGGCAATTGTGGACTGAAAACAACCAAGAATTAAATCATCCAGAAGAATATAATGTGTCGAAGAGACCGACAGCGACTCTGAAAAGGGGAGAGTTGCGGTCGGACGCGATTGTGTTTGGAAAGGGAGAGACAGGGCGGACGGAGAAGCAGCTCCTTAAACTCAAAGATCTGGCATCAAAGTTATTCTGTGATGTGTCCAATTTCGAAATGGATCCACACGTGACCGGCAGCAGGAGAAGCGCTTCGCTATGTAAAAGCGGGCGCAGGGGGTTTTATTATGGGTCTAGCCTCATCAGTGGACCCTGCCAAGCCCAAGCCAGAATTCCTCTCCACGAGACTTCAGCTCAAGCCCGGAGAAGTCAAACCCCAGACTGCTAATCTTCCCAGTGACATTTATAAAAACTGGTGATTAGCATCTGGCAAAATTGGTGCAATGCTGTATTGGGTACGCCGAAGCTGATGACCTTTCTGTCCCGCTTTGCCCCAGGCCGCCAGGTCTTGAGCGCAGTCCTTCAACCAGACAGAGTCGTTGTAAGAAAGATGAAGCCCTTGATCATCATCTATGGATCAACGGGCACTGGCAAGTCGGATGTGAGTGTTTTCCCGGAGTCGCCGTCTCCCAACTGTCCCTGGCGTCAACATGGCTGACAATATCCAGTTTGCCGTCGAGTTGGCGACGAGGTTCAACGGCGAGATAATCAACGCCGATGCGATGCAGATGTACAAAGGTCTGCCCATAATAACTAACAAGCTTACTGCCAAGGAACAACGAGGGATTCCGCACCATATACTTGGTAGCATCGAGTTGGACGAGGACCCGTGGGTCGTGACACGATTCAAGCGGGAGGCGACGAGGTTAATATCCGAGATTCGTGCCCGCGAGAAACTTCCCATTCTGGTCGGCGGCACTTCTTACTATCTCGATGGCCTTCTGTTTGATAACAAATTAGTCGAGAAAGAGGAACAAGAGTCGCCTGAAGGCTGGGTGTCGAATCGCGATCAACTGTCGGATAAATATCCGATCCTCAAGGGGCCGCCGGATGCTATACTTAAGAAGCTACGTGAAGTGGACCCCGTCATGGCAGACAGGTGGCATCCAAATGACACCCGCAAGATCCGCACTTCATTAGAGATATACTTTGCCACGGGGCGGCGGGCCTCCGACATATACGCCGAGCAGCGAAGCAGGAGAGAATCCAAAGTGGCGAACCAAGACCCGACTCCGAGACAAAATCTTGGCGAAATCCTATTGTTTTGGTTATATGCTCGTCGCGAAGCTCTGGACGAGCGCCTCGACAAGCGCGTAGACAAAATGGTGCAAAATGGCCTCCTCGACGAGACAAAGGAGGTCTATGACTATCTGCAGCGGAGGCTTGCCTCTGGTGAGACTGTGGACCGCTCAAAGGGCATCTGGCAGTCCATTGGCTTCCGCCAATTCGAGCCGTATTTGCAGGCACTTAAGGAAACGCCCGAGAGCTCCGAATTGAGGAAGCTTAAGCAAGCCGGCATCGAGGATACCAAGACGGCAACCCGCCAGTACGCCAAGTATCAGGTCCGTTGGATGACATACAAAACCATCTCGTCTCTACGGGAAGAGAAGCTACTGGATAGGCTTTACCTCCTCGATAGTACAGACATCCATCGCTGGAACGAAGAGGTGCTGGCGAAGGGCGTGGAGTTAGCAAGGCGGTTTCTCAACGATGAGCAGCTTCCACTAGCCGTCGATATCTCCGAGACAGCTCGAGATGTGTTGACGGACTCGGTCCAAAAAAGCAACCAACAGGCCACGCCATGCCGCAAGACTTGTGATTTTTGCAACAAGGTTTTCTTGACGGAAGAGCTATGGCAGACGCACATTCATAGCAGAAAACATCACAAGGTCGTTCGAGCAGCCAAGAAGAGGTCGCTTGTGCCAGCCCACTATGCACCACCAAGAGCCCTGGTGGCAGTCGACACCCATATGTCAGAAGGCCACAGCAGTGGCAACGAATCCTCTACGAGCTTGAACCCGCCATGAAACCATGGTATGAATGCGAAGCAACGAACAGATCAGACACAGCAAAATAAACCGGTGTACCCCGGATCTTAGTGCGAGAGATCTGGCAACTCACTCACGCTTCCATGCTGCTTGCGGCCACTTCCAAGCGTTCCCCGTGGGTTTGTGGCCGAACACCTTGCTAGGCCACGAGCGGGATCTTGCCGGGTAGAATGGCGACGCCGGCGCACGCTGGCGCAGGCGGATGACTGGTCGTCGTCTTCTTGCAAACCTCAGCCAAGTTTCCGGCCGACACACCGTCTTTGTATACGCACCCTTATATGCTCCCAATGTTGCTGTTGTTTGAGTCGTAGCAAGATGATCTCAACTCAGCGTTCCCGGCAAGTTAGGTAGGAACTCGGCCATTGTCTCCTCGCCGCCCATTAGCCTCTTCTGCGGGCCTCTCGGACATCTTCATTTTGGCGGTGGCGGTTATGCTGTCGGCTTGCGAGTCGATCTCGCAACCTCGCTAAGCCCTTCTGCTCTCTCTGACCGCCTTTGTTCTCATCGATACTGAGCTCATCGGCCTCTTGGAGGCTTTTCCCGGCGCGAAGCTCACCCGGTATTTCTTGAACAGACTTCTCTGTCAATGTCCGCGGCTTTTGTGGCGTTTGCGGTTGTTACAGCGTGCCATCGATTCCAGTAACAATTCGCGAGAGGATAATATCCTTGCGCATGGAACGCGTCTTGGGGGTGGCTGCGCAGATGCGGCCAAGGAACCGACGCTCATCAACAGGGGCTACTGGATCTCGGCCGAGAAGCCATTACCGGTATGTACCTAACAAGTAGGTGACAGCTCCTGCTGACAGCGAAACCAGACCTCTCGTTGAGTTGTCGAAAAGCTAAACAATTCTCTGTGGACAGAATAGGTTTACAACATGCCTGACGCATAACAATAAAAATGCCTCTAGCGCAATTGGCGCACGGGTTTGGCAGTCAACCTTTGGCTGCATCTGCTTATCAATTGGCCTTGCATTCTCGTGACGCAAGGAAGAGGGACCAGTAGGTAACCCCAATCCGAGCGGGATTGGATGCTGTCGTGTATTCGAATCCCGTGGGATGTCGTTGAGTGGTTGGATGAATCATCCCCGAGCATCCAGGCCTCTCATCAGCCTGGGTGTGTATGCAAACAAGAGTCATTGCACCTTGGCCCTTGGAGAACTCTGGGTTTCTGCGTTTATACATATCTGGATACTCAGTGCCGTGGTGTAGTGTAACTCACCGTTGACCGTACTATCGTGCGGCTTTGACAATACCGGCCAGGGCTCGCGGAATGATTCCTGGCCGAGACCGAGACCCTCTGTTAATAAGTATCCGAGCAAGGTACAGACATAGGACCCTACGTTAGTGGGAGTCTTGGGCAGCGAATACGCTGAAAGTTCCAGAACAGGCACTCCAGGCGAGCCAGACGCATTACGTAGACAGCGGCTCCGGGACAGTCTGCCACAAGCGCGGGGTCAGATGGAAATCCCATCCCCAAAGCTGAAAGCACACGGACACGTTGCTTGACGATGGAAGGCGCAGTTTGTTGGCCCAGTGTACGGTGGAAATTGATCAGTGTATCCATGGATGATTGATAAGGCCCAATGTCCCCACACCGAAAGCTTTGTCCCTGAAACTCTCAACATCGAGTTAACCTTAGTTCGGTTTCGCTTTTCGCGGAAGCGATCCTCGACGTGGAAACCTTCCCCACGATCCTGATGAATCCCGTCCAGCCTCGAGCTTAACTCCGCAGCCTTGAAAGGACCGCGAGTGGTTCGGTCACTGCACTTTTTCTGCCGGCGTTATACAGACTCGATCGGCGTTGTACGGACTCGGTGCCTGAGTACCGGGTCCAAGTCGGTGCCTCCCCAAATCTCAGTCATCGTAAATCGATGAATCGTTGAGCTCGTGCCGTATTAGGGCACGGACAAACGCACGAATACGTGGAAAGTAGCTGTATCCGTCAAGTTGCTGCTTCCACGGCTCCCACCAAGGCCCGCTGCCTCTCCTTGCCCGCCGGGCGTCGTTGCGTCCTTGCAACTGCCACTTCTCGCTGCGATCGAGGCCTCACCAACAACTCAGTCGCATCATCCGCGCACGGCTGCTGTGGATTGCTTTCCGTCTTTTTTTTTGCTTATCGCTATTATCTTGACCTGGTTAATCTTCTTTTTGTCCCTGGCCAACGTCCCGCTACTCATCCATACCCTGCCGCTGCCATGGCATCCACGCCTACTCCAAGTTCACATGCATCTGCCCCAGTCTCGGTTTCGGACGTCCCCGCCGTGTCCAGCAAACCCCCGCGGATCCTTGCATGCGTTCTCTGCCAACACCGGAAGATCAAATGTGACCGGAGCTTTCCCTGCGCCAACTGCCTCAAGGTGAGAAAACGATCCTGGTCCGCCGTGTTTGCAATGCCTCGCTGACAACTCTCAGGCGAACGTCAAGTGCACGCCGAGCACACCAGCCCCTGCCCGCAAGCGGAGGCGGCCTAACCAGGACCTTCAGGAGAGGTTAGCGAAGTGCGAAGAGCTCTTGAAGGAATATGCAGCAGAGAAGCCGCCAGAGAGAGCCACGACGCCCCGTTCTTCTAACCTGCCAACCCAAGATGAGCCTTCGCCCGAGTGGCAGCCAACCGGAAAGCTCGTCAGCGAACATGGGCGCATGGCCTTCATGAACAGTCCTCTACTGGCCACAGTCTATGAAGAGGTTGGTATAGGCCCTCAATGCCTCCTGCCACGGTCCGCTTACAGCATTATTCTGGCAGCTTCGAGCCATGAGGGAGATCGTCGACACCCCTGACGAGGACTCCAATTCAGAGACGGCAACCCCCGATGTACATGGGGCGTTGCTTCTCGGCGCCGACACTCCTTCGTCGAAGGAGGAGGTTCTCTGGCCGGACCCTATCCAAGTCTTGCGCTTATGGCAAGTTTTCTTAGACAGGGTGAACCCGCTGACCAAGATCATCCACGTTCCTTCGCTTTGGCCGCACGTTGCCGAGGCAGCCAACAACTCTTGCAACATACCGAAGAACGTAGAGGCGCTCTTGTATGCTATATTCTTGATGGCCGTTGTCTCGCTTACGCCTGATGAGTGCCGGGAGCAGCTTGGGCAATCGAGAGAAGAAGCGCTCCAGAGGTACTCTCTAGGGGCTCAGCAGAGCCTCTACAGGATGAAGTTCCTCAAGTGCCTTGATCTTACAACGCTTCAGGCATACGTTCTCTATTTGGTACAGGCGTCTACCAAGCTGTCCCTCAGCCATTACTCGCTGACAGGCGTGACAGATGTCCCTCCACGGCCGCTACAACCGGCACGTCGTATGGATTCTAAACGGCGTTGCCCTTCGCATCGGTCAAAAGATGGGGTTACACCGTGACGGTGAAACGCTGGGTCTCTCCCCCTTTGAATCTGAGATGAGAAGAAGACTTTGGTGGCAGATCCTCATCATGGATACCAAGACGGCGGTATTATCTGGCCTCAGTCCGACCGTGCTCGCCCGAGACTGTCACACGAAGGCGCCTAGGAACGTCAACGACGGGGATATCTTCCCAGCAGCCACGGAGCCGTTCAAGGACCGAGAAGGACCTACCGAAATGATTTTCTGTCTCCTCAACTATAGAGTTGCCAAGTTCATTATCGAAACCCCGGGCGTCGAAACCATGGTAATGGTCATGGAGGGTGGCTCGGACGACCCCGACGGCGGCCCAACTGAGGAGCAGCTCTCGGGATACCGACGGAGCTTTGAGAAGCTGGGGAAAGAACTACTGGAAATCCTGGACAAATACTGCGATCCGAGAGCAGGGCCGGTGCACGAGATGGCCATACGAATGCGGCAACACCTCCTTGACATGATCAACGAGATACTCACGCCTGCCAGGTTGAGGCCAGAGTGGGGAAGTGAGATGAAGACGGCGAAAGACAATACGTTCATGGTCGCCATCAGGACCCTCGAGCACGAAGAGAAGCATTACATTTCGGCAAAGGACAAAGGATTTGCCTGGTATATGCACATACACTTCCAGCTGGATGTATTCCTATACGTGGCAGGCCAGCTTTGCCACCGCACCGAAGGTAGCCTTGTGTCGCGTGCGTGGAGGCAGGTCGAAGTGGTGTATACCTTCCACCCTGAACTATTTGACGTCACAAACAAGATGCACGCTGGGCTGGCCGTTTTCATCCTCAAAGCATGGAAAAGGAGAGAGGAGACCATCTTTGTCCGCACCGGGCAGCTTCCGGAGATGCCGTCCTATGTAGGGAAGCTACGAAGCTGCATGCCAAATGACGACTACAAGACGGAGCCCACGCCGCCAAACCCGTACACGCCATCGAGCCTCGCCGAAACCCTTACCATCCCCCCGGAGAACCCGCTCGACCAGTTCCTGGATTATCTCGATCCCTCTTCGCTCGGCTGGGATATGTTTGGCAGCACGCCTGCGAACACCGGTCAGGGGATGCCGGTGTTTCCGTATGGAATGGAGCCTCCGAGCGGATGGTAAAGGTCTGTGGCCGCGGCGATGTGATACCCCCTCTCAACTCGGCTTTTGCCGCAATGTGTTATTAGTGATGGCTCTCTTCTCCGTCTTTTTTTCGACGGATTTCCCCCTGGAACTGCGGGTGTATCAACAATCAGGTTTAGATTCATAGAATAGCGGTCGCACTATGAAAATGCGTGGGTTAGGCTTTGGTCCATGGACCCCTGGCTGTATGTACAGTGATGACCCGACACAAGACCATCGCAAGAAAGCGGCTGGACCCATGCAAGAAGAGCGTTGTAATAGATGCCAAGATGGTAGAGCGCGGATACAAGCTAATGAAGAGAGAATACCTGGATCCGAAGGACAGTCTCTGGCGCTCACGATTGCTTCGTAGTAAACTGCGAGTCGGACCCTCCATGCGTGGGATCCGCAACAGTGCTTTTACAGCCATACCTTACATACCAGTACGTAGAACGTACTGTTAACCCCACCTCGAGCAACCAACAGCCCCTCCAACTCACCTAACCAGCATTCTTCTCTCCAGCCTACTTACTACATCCAACCAAAACCATTTCCCATGATCGCCGGTAATAGGAGAACATATCTTGAAAAGCCAGAATGGAGATTTCAAATCCCCGCCGGATCCTGGCCGTCTCTCTGGCCGACTCTGCGCAGCATCTCAGCGACATCATCAAGGGTACGTCGGCATCTGAACTCCCAGGCCCGTATCATTTCATATCCATGGCACACTCAACTCACCTTGCCCTCATCACCGCCTGCCTACTCATTCGCTACCTCACCCATACGATAAAGACACCAACCTCTTCATCAGTCTCCCACATAACTGTACTCTCTCTCTGACACTCCCCAAACCGGGAACCACAGACTTAACAGGCACCCCGCCCACTCCGCTGGGGCCCTCCGCCTCCTTGGCGGGGACAACCCACCCCTTTCCCTTGACAACACAGTACTACACGGCCACGGTCCCCGTCTGGCTGGACCTGATCTCGTCGCCCGCCGAATGGGCGGCCAGCTTCCTTGCGCCCGAGGCCAAGGAGGTGCTGGACGTGCTTGGCGGGGTGGTCGTTGTTCTGCCCCTTCCCCCTGCCCCCTCCTCCTCCTTTAGTGCGTCAACACTGCTCCCATCGTCATCATCATCGTTGCAAGAGAAGAAAGATTTTGATGGTGATGGTGATGGTGACGCTGAAGAGGGAGGCAGAAGGGAGAAAGCGCGAGCGCTGGTGGAGCATGTCGGAAGGTTGGTGAAGGAGGGGCTTGGGGGGTGGGATTGGGACGGGGTTGGGCTTGTCATTGGAGTCACCGAGGGAGGTCAGATGGATCTGGATGGGGAGGGGTTGGATGAGTGGGAGGATCTGTGTGCCGAGTGCGGGATGGAGTTTGTTTACTTGAGCAGGTCAAATAGCAGGACTGCAGCCGCGAACGAGGACCCCGAGAGGAACGAGTTTGGGGAGAAGATGGGCTTGGCGAGGGTGCGGGAGGCGCTGGAGGCGAATGACTGGTCGGGCGGCGGGGACCTGACGGAGGTGGGACTTGGGATGGGAAGTGATGATGAAAGAGAGGGCGGAAAGGAGGGTTCCAAACGGAAAGGGAGGAAGGTGAGCGGTGATGGTGACGACGAGTTTGACCCCGAGAGTCTCGATTTTGGTTTTGATAGGGAGGACTTTGTCGGACTGAGGAAGGCCATTTTGACCGGTGGCATGGGAGACACGGATGCGGACGATCCTAAAGGGGACCAGAAAGACGATGATGACGAGAACCTGGACGACGAGAAGATCCAGAAGGTGGAGCGCATGATGCTGAAGCTGCAGGCCGTGAGGGATGCAAGTGCTGGCCTGCCCGAAGAGCAGCGAAAGAGGATGGCCCGGCAAGCTGTCGGGGAAGTCATGAGGGAGCTGTGACGGCAACCAGATGTGATCATGTCCTCCAGCAAGGCAACAAGGTTCCTTAGATCCGTATACCACAGATTGGTGCATGCTCAACTCGCTCTCTTCGAGGCCCGTTGGCACAAGGGATAATAAGAGCAAAGACCGGAGCTATACAACTTTGTCCCTCCGTCTCGAAACATAACAATGCTAGTAAGGCCCCGTAAGATGTCTGCACTCATCACATTTCGGAGCCTGGTAGTGACCTCGGTTCGTGGAGATCCTCAGCCTACATACACGACATGACCAGCGGCTACGCACGCTACAGCAGAGTAGTCTGGCTGTTGCGGGAGAACCCGGATTCATCAACCTAGCGCCTGGGAGGACAAGGCATACGCTAAAAATATCCCTATCCCGAACTTGATGCATCGCCCGCGCGACACAAAGCCCTGTCCAGCCTCGGAAGGTCGATCATCGCGACCACTCAGCGCCAAGGGCGGACCAGGAATCCAATTGGAACACCCAGAGCGAGCTGCTTGGGAGCGTCCCGGGTCGTAGACCGGCTGCTCTACACTACATTTGCGCGGAACCCAGAAGACTATATAGCAAGATCAGACGAAGTTAGAAGGGGCATTCAACGGTTGAACCATCATTGACCGATTAGCCTTTGCATATTGATAACGACTGATCGGTGGAACGCCGAGACCCTTCCAAGATGTGTCCCGAAACAGGGCGATCCGAGGGATCACCACCGAATATCTGCCCTGTTATTATGTACTGTATGTACACCAGAGCAGTGGGGTCAGAATACAGTATTGATCTTCGACCGTTGTCCTTTTGATGCAGGTTTCAGAGTGACGTGGCTGCGCTAAGTCAGCGTCGGAATGTTTCTGTTGATGTATGTACACTAGACCCGGGGTGCTGGTTGGAGGGATGCTCTTGTGACAAGGAAGTGCCTGGAGCAGCCCTAAAAGGGATTTGAGAGCCGATCGATCCAAATTGGATGAATTGTCGATTGCTGCTACCCAATCAGGGTGTATCAGTCAACCGACAGCCGCGGCATGCGATTTGGCAATGAGGGACCAGCGTCTCAGCGCCGCAACTTATGGAGTCCTTTTCTCGCAAATGCCGGCTATGACGCTTTTAGTCTCTGGTCCGTATCCAAGGTGGTGTCGGAATACGTGAAGGCCTCTAGACCGAAGCGTGGAGGATCGATGTTCGAGGGGTCAAGGCTGCAAATAGGCTACTCCGTACTGAGAAGTGTTACTTTATTCGAAGTCTGATGTCTTGGTAGGCTGGATGGTGCGCCATACTTTTCTGCGCCACGCCTATTCTTGGGCAGCTGATTGGCATCCAGCGGTTCCACACTCACGACACCATAGCCAATCCACACCCGCAGTTCGGCTTCTGAAGGATCTCAGCATCGCAGCCAGCCGGTAATGTACTGTACTGTACGGAGTGAACGGAGGCATCTTGTGCTTTTCGTTTTGTGGTGGTGTGCTGGTCTCTCTCTCGGTCGCTTTTTGGTATCTCCTCGAGCTCCTGTAGTCAGCCGGAGGCGCGCATGAACAAGCGCATGAGCAACGGGCGGCCCCAACCAATCAGCTTGGTTCCCATCGAGCCCACCTTTCAATTCAAAGCATGAACGTCGCCGCCGAGGCGCGTCCACACGCGTTGAAACCGGGGTCTTTCCGAATTCCACAACGGACGCACCAAGCTTGGTGGGCTTCAGGGATACCCGTTGGCCCGAGCTTCTTGCATTAAGGGGCCACTGTCAAGACAGTTGGCTACAAAATCTAGGGACAGGACAAAATCCAGGGACAGTCGCGCCCCACCAACACGTTGAATTATCTACCACCCACACGTTGATTTTCCTTCTTTTCCTTCTATAACCACCAATTCCAGCCCAATTCCAGCCTAGAAAACGATG